AAACCATAAAAAGACTACCAACTAAGAAAAGCCCAGGACCGGATGGGTATACAGCAGAATTTTACAAAACCTTTAAAGAAGAACTAATACCAATACTTTTCAAGCTACTTCAGGAAATAGAAAAGGAGGGAGAACTTCCAAATTCATTCTATGAGGCCAACATCACCCTGATACCTAAACCAGACAAAGACACTTCAAAGAAAGAAAACTACAGACCAATATCTCTAAGGAACCTAGATGCAAAAATCCTCAATAAAATTCTGGCGAATCGGATACAAAAACATATCAAAAAAATTGTACACCATGATCAAGTAGGATTCATCCCTGGGATGCAAGGCTGGTTCAATATACGGAAATCAATAAATGTTATTCACCACATCAATAGACTTAAAAATAAGAACCATATGATCATCTCGATAGATGCGGAAAAAGCATTCGACAAAGTACAGCATCCCTTTATGTTCAAAACTCTAGAAAAACTAGGGATAACAGGAACATACCTCAATATTGTAAAAGCAATCTATGCTAAGCCTCAGGCTACCATCATTCTGAATGGAGAAAAACTGAAGGCATTCCCTCTAAAATCTGGAACAAGACAGGGATGCCCTCTCTCTCCACTTCTGTTCAACATAGTTCTCGAAACACTGGCCAGAGCAATTAGACAGACGAAAGAAATTAAAGGCATAAAAATAGGAAAAGAAGAACTTAAATTATCACTATTTGCAGATGATATGATTCTATGCCTAGCAGACCCAAAAGGCTCTACAAAGAAACTATTAGAGCTAATAAATGAATTCAGCAAAGTGGCAGGATATAAAATCAACATGCATAAATCAAAGGCATTCCTGTATATCAGCGACAAATCCTCTGAAATGGAAGTGAGGACAACCACTCCATTCAAAATATCTTCAAAAAAAAAAAATACTTGGGAATCAACCTAACAAAAGAGGTGAAAGACTTATACAATGAAAACTACAGAACCCTAAAGAGAGAAATAGAAGAAGATCTCAGAAGATGGAAAAATATACCCTGTTCATGGATAGGCAGAACTAACATCATCAAAATGGCGATATTACCAGAAGTTCTCTATAGGTTTAATGCAATGCCAATCAAAATCCCAACGGCATTTCTTGTAGAAATAGAGAAAGCAATCATGAAATTCATATGGAAAAATAAAAGACCAGAATAGCAAAAACAATGCTAAGCAGGAAGTGTGAATCAGGCGGTATAGCGATACCAGACTTCAAACAATACTACAGAGCAATAGTAACAAAAACAGCATGGTACTGGTACCAAAACAGGCGGGTGGACCAATGGTACAGAATAGAGGACACAGAAACCAATCCACAAAACTACAACTATCTTATATTTGATAAAGGGGCTAAAAGCATGCAATGGAGGAAGGATAGCATCTTCAACAAATGGTGCTGGGAAAACTGGAAATCCATATGCAACAAAATGAAACTGAATCCCTTTCTCTCGCCATGCACAAAAGTGAATTCAAAATGGATCAAGGAGCTTGATATCAAATCAGAGACGCGCCGTCTGATACAAGAAAAAGTTGGCTACGATCTACAGTCGGTGGGGTCGGGCTCCAAATTCCTCAATAGGACACCCATAGCACAAAAGTTAATAACTAGAATCAACAAATGGGACTTACTCAAACTAAAAAGTTTTTTCTCAGCAAAAGAAACAATAAGAGAGGTAAATAGGGAGCCTACACCCTGGGAACAAATCTTTACTCCTCACACTTCAGATAGAGCCCTAATATCCAGAGTATACAAAGAACTCAAAAAATTAGACAATAAGAGAACAAACAACCCAATCAACAAATGGGCCAAGGACCTGAACAGACACTTCTCAGAGGAGGACATACAGTCAATCAACAAGTACATGAAAAAATGCTCACCATCTCTAGCTGTCAGAGAAATGCAAATCAAAACCACCCTAAGATACCATCTCACTCCAGTAAGATTGGCAGCCATTATGAAGTCAAACAACAACAAGTGCTGGCGAGGATGTGGGGAAAAGGGTACACTTGTTCATTGCTGGTGGGACTGCAGATTGGTGCAGCCAATTTGGAAAGCAGTATGGAGATTTCTTGGAAAGCTGGGAATGGAGCCACCATTTGACCCAGCTATTCCCCTTCTTGGTCTATTCCCTAAAGACCTAAAAAGAGCATGCTACAGGGACACTGCTACATCGATGTTCATAGCAGCACAGTTCACAATAGCAAGACTGTGGAACCAACCTAGATGCCCTTCAATAGACGAATGGATAAAAAAAATGTGGCATTTATACACAATGGAGTATTACTCTGCATTAAAAAATGACAAAATCATAGAATTTACAGGGAAATGGATGGCATTAGAGCAGATTATGCTAAGTGAAGCTAGCCAATCCCTAAAAAACAAATGCCAAATGTCTTCTTTGATATAAGGAGAGTAACTAAGATCAGAGTAGGGACGAAGAGCAGGAGAAGAAGATTAACATTTAACAGGGATGAGAGGTGGGAGGGAAAGGGAGAGAGAAGGGAAATTGCATGGTAATGGAAGGAGACCCTCAGGGTTATACAGTGGAGGGGGTAGAGAGAGAGGAGGGGAGGGGAGGGGAGAGGTGGGGAGGGGGGAGGTTGGAGGATGGGAAAGGCAGCGGAGCACAACAGACACTAGTATGGCAATATGTAAATCAATGGATGTGTAACTGATGTGATTCTGCAATCTGTGTATGGGTGAAGGTGGGAGTTCATAACCCACTTGAATCAAAGTGTGGAATATGATATGTCAAGAAATTTGTAATGTTTTGAACAACCCACAATAAAAAATTAAAAATAAAAAAAAATTTTCTGTCTCATGTTTTTTCCTCTATTATTCCTTACTAATTTTTTTTGCACTAAGTACTTTCTGATATTTTAACTTTTTAAAAAAAATTTTAGTTCTGTCCTTAGAGATTGCCCTACTCTTACCATATCCAACTTATCAGAAACAGATTTATACTAACTTAATTTCAATGAGATATAAAAACATTTTTCATATATGCTCTCTTTTCCCAATACTTTTACTGTATTGTTTTATATATATATATATATACACACACACACACACACACAAATGTTATATTGCTAATATTTCATTCAATTTTATATATTCTAAATCAACTAACAGAAAAGAAAGTATATGTGTATAGCTTGTGTTATAGTAACCTCTTTACTATTTCTGACTTTTATCACCTTTTCCTATGGATTTCAGTTACCATCTGCACTCATTTTCTGACACCAAAGCAGCTTTGATCCCATGAATCTATTTTGCTTTTGTTGGCAAATATATTACATTTCTATATATTGCAGGCCCCCAAAATATGACTCATAACCATGAAAAATTTTGTTTTGTTGAATTTAAGATTGCTTTTAAAATTAAAAGAACAAGAAATAGCATTTATCATTTTATATTTGCATAAATTACCTTTTAATGCTTTTTTTTTTCCTGTTTGAGGCCACTTACTTTTAGCCAAAGGAACTTCTTTTCATATATCTTCCAAAACACCCCTGTTAGCCACAAATTCGTTGTTTTTATTTATCTGAGCATTTTTTTGGTTCACCTTCATTTTTTAAAAGGTAATTTTATTGGATATAGCATTCTTGATTACCAGGGTGTTTTTTTTTTGTTTTCAGACATTGAGTATATTATTCCTCCATTATGGCTTCCATTATTTCTAATGGAAAGTAATCTGCTGATTTTATTAGAGTTCCCCTGTGAGTACTAGTTATATTTCTCTTGCTGTTTTAAGATTTTTCTCCTCTTTCAACATTTTTCACCATGATGCATCCACCTGCAGATCTCTTGAACATTAATTTCTGTTTTCTTACTACCGAACTGCTAAGAACCTACAGTATAATACCTACAGTATAATGTTGAATAGCAAATGTTGAGAAAAAAATCTCCTTGCTTCTGACCTCAGAAGATAGCATTTAGTCTTTCATTATGAATTTGAATGTTAGCTGCAAGTTTTTCATAAGATATATTTCTAAATGCTTATTCTGCATGGAGTTTCTTGGATTCCTTAGGTCTGAGTTTTCTCCAAATTTAGCCATTTTAAGCTATTATTTCTTTTAAAAAATTATTTATTCCTTGCAGAACTCCAATTATGAGTGGTAGGCTACATGATTTTTTTTCATAAGTCACAGATGCTCTGCTCATTTTTATTTTCACCTTTTTTCCCTCTTTGCTTTATTTTTGTACTTTCTAGTGCTGTGTCTTTAAGTTGACTTAGCTCCTCACCACATTCACTCATGTGGTCTTTCTCCTATTAATTCATAGTTATTTTTTCCAAATATTGTGCTATTCTGTTCCACTAAAAAAATTCTTCTGCTTCTCATTAGGTTCATATTTTCTTTTAAACCCTTGAACATGGTTATAATGGTGTTTTAGCATTTTGATTTTCTAACTTCATCATCTCTAATATTTTTGTTTCTATTGACAAATTTTCTCCTGATTATGAGTGACATAGTTCTGTTTGGGGATCTCTATTGTGTATTTTTAAAATCAAATACAGGGCAATGTAAGTTTCATATTATTGAATATCTAGATTGTGTAGTTTTCCCTACATTGGGAAGAGTATTGGGCTTTGTTCTGGAAGCCAAGTTACTTGCAGATTGGCTTTACCTTTTGAAGGCTGTGTTTGAACTTTGTTATTTGAAGTATGGAGTACTTTTTGATAAGGAGAGTTCAGCTTTTTTACTAAGACATGACATTTCCAGGTGCTTTACTATATGTACCTGATCATCAAGGAGGACCTTCCAGTCTCTGCCAGCTTGGATCTCCAGTATCTCCAAACTCTCTGAAAATTATCTCTTTTATATCACCTTGGTCATTCTTTGCCTTGCCTTATGGTGTATCACTCTTTGATTACACATCTCAAGTATTCAGCAGTTTCAACAGACATCTAGGTTATGTCTGCTGCCCCCCCCCCCATAAAGGGGCCACACAAGCAAAGCTCCTGACCTTGCTGGGCATCCAGGCTCAGGAAGGCTGGAGTTCCTGTGGCCATGTCCACTGATGTATCACAAACAGATCCGCCAGGCCAAACTGTGGGCAACACAGATGTTTCTGCTTCAAATGAGAATGCTTTAACACATGAAAACCCAGCCATACCTTCTATTTCCCTAATCAGTACTACTCACCTTTCCCCAAATAGAGAACAACAGAGGAGCATCTCTAATATGCCTTCCTCCCCTACCATTAAAAGAAGCAGCTGCTAACAATGAAGGTCCAAGTATAGAGGAGGAGGATCTTCTCACCGGAGTAGTTCTCCATCCACAGCCAAAGACACTTTGGATAATGGAGATTACAGAGAACCAGCCTATGACTGGCCACCAGTCCCAGTGACAATGAGTCCAATAAGGCTTTGGAAGAAAACAGAGGTTACCTGGAAATAAAAGTCAGTGGGATCTTTTAAGACTGAATCCTCAACTATAGGAAGAGGAAGACAGTCATTTCTTTTTTCATCTTATTTTTGCTTTTAAAAAAATTGCTGATGGTTACATTACACATCACAATAAAAGGAAGATTCTCCTCCTAGTTCAAGGCAGGAAATGGTATGATGGCCTTTTTTCCAAAACAGTGCAGTATCATTGCCTACCCTAGAAGGCCATGTCTTCTCTGAAGATTACTAATGATTATATTTGTTGAAGCAATTAATTTGCATTTGCTCATTATGTAATTTTATTTGACTTTTTGATATTGTATGGATGTTTGCCATAAGCAGTTTGCACTTAAATGAGAAGTAGACTTCTCTTTTGCCTCGGTGTTTTGAAAATCAAGTGTCATAGAATCTATAATCTTTATATACACTTTCAAAGTTTAATTCAATCAGATGTCCAAAAGACTAAGTTAAGCATTACCTTGTATTTATACTGTTGTTTGTTTTGGTTTGGTTGGTTTTGGGGTTTTTTTGGTTGTTGTTGTTATTGTTATTATTACTATGGATTGAACCCAGGGTGCTTAACCATCGAGCCACATCCCCAGCTTTTTGTTATTGTTGTTTTTGAGACAGGGTCTTGCTAAGTTGCTGAGGCTAGCCTCGAACTTGCAATCCTCCTGCCTCAGCCTACCAAGACACTGGGATTACAGGTGTGCGCTACCATGCCCAACTACTGGTGGTTTTTATTATTTTCCATTTATTGTACTTCTGGAAGTAAGGGTTTCTTTTTTTTTTTTTTTAAGTAATGCTACATTTTTTTTGGGGGGGGGAGACACCGGGAATTAAATTTGGGGGCTCTCGACCACTGAGCCACATCTCCAATCCTATATTTGTATTTTATTTAGAGACAGGGTCTCACTGAGTTGCTTAGTTCCTCGCTTTTGCTGAGACTGGCTTTGAACTCTGTGATCCTCCTGCCTCAGCGTCCCAAGCCACTGGGATTACAGGCAGGTGCCACCGCACCCGGCTAATGCTACTTAATTTTTTTTAAAATAATATCTTTATTTTATTTAATTCTTTTTATGTGGTGCTGGGAATTGAACCCAGTGTCTCATGCATGCTAGGAAAGCACTTTACCACTGAGCCACAACCCCAGCCCCTAATGCTACTTTTAAAAGATCCCAAACTCGTAGATAAATTCTAGCATATCTAGTTCTGTTGACTTAGATTCACTTTCTGCCAACCAAATACAATTTTTTTTTTAAGAGAGAGAGAGAGAGAATTTTAGTATTTATTTTTTTTTTTTTTAGTTTTTTGGCGGACACATCTTTGTTTGTATGTGGTCCTGAGGATCGAACCCGGGCCGCACCCATGCCAGGCGAGCGCGCTACCGCTTGAGCCACATCCCCAGCCCCCCAAATACAAATTTTTAAACAAACATTACTTTTTTGGTCCTAAATTGTAATGTACAAGGATGTATGTGATAATGCTTTGCATTTAAGTAACTTTTTCTTCCTCTTTAAAAACTGCTTCAGATGTTTTTAGGCAACTAAAACACAATTTAACAATATTGCTCAGTCTGACTACAATTTTAAGTAATATATTAAATGTGTCAAGGAATTCTGGCATAAGAGACTGCAATTCCGTGAACATTGATAAAATGTTATGTAGAATCTAATTTAATTACTTAATTAAATTATAGGTAGAGCGCTTGCCTAGCACATGTGAGGCCCTAGGTTGGATCCTCAGCAACACATAAAAATAAAGAGAATAAAGGTATTGTGAAAAAAAATTCTTTAAAAAAATTATAGGTAGAAACTGGAAAATATTAAAACACATAAAGAATTACTTTTAGTTAGTAATTTGGAAGTTTCCTCCAAGACTTCAAGCAATGAGTAGAGACAAAACTTTTATCAGGCCAGGTTCAGTGGCCCAGGCCTATAATTCCAGCTACTAAGAAAACTGAAGCAGGAGAACAGCATGTTTTAAGTCAACCTGGGCAATTTGGTGAGACCCATCTTAAAATTAAAAGGGGTTAGGGATGTAGCTCAGTGTCAGAGTACACCTGGGTTCAAACCCCAGTACAGCCAAAAAAAAAAAAGTGTGTGTGTGTGTACACATATCAGATTTGTTCACTTTCTTATTGTATAGTAAGTTTGAACAATCTTAGGGGCCATTATCACTTAAATAATATTGTATATAGGTCTTTCAAATTAAAATTATACCTGAATGAAGTTATTGGGACGCTATATGTGTACAACAATCTTTTCCTCTCTGGGACTTGTTTTTTTAATAGCAACTGGAACTTACTATATTTCATTTTAGTCTTTTTATCAAAGAATCGATCAAGGCTGGGGATGTGGTTCAAGCGGTAGTGCGTTCGCCTGGCATGCGTGCGGCCCAGGTTCAATCCTCAGCACCACATACAAACAAAGATGTTGTGTCCGCCAAAAACTAAAATAAATTAAAAAAAAAAAAAAGAATCGATCAGTATGTAAATATTTTATTTGAACACACTTTACTTACAAGTGTCACTACAGCTTCTTAGAAAACATAATCCTACTGTACATTAAACAAAGTACAGGTGAACCAGTGGCCATATATTTTGTATGGAGATAAAAACAGCAGCACCGTCTATCCTCCTCTCTGCTCTCAGGTTGGACAATTGACTGTCCTAACAGGGAAGGGAAGCACAATGGAAATATACCTGTTTTACTGCAATAATTTTTTTCATATCTGAAAGGGAATTGTTTAATACTCTGAATAATGATTTTTAAAAATATATGGCAGGGTGTGGATGTAACTCAGAGATACAGCATTTCCCTAGCATGGGCAAGGCTCTGGGTTTGATCCCCAGCACTGGAAAAAATAAAAAGGCAAACACACACACACACACAACACACACACACACACACATATGCAGATTTAATGAGCTTTTAGCCTACATAGCGTCAACTTCTTTGAAACTCTTCCCTCCAACTTCCATCTGCCTCAGCCTCCCTCCACCTTGATCTTGCTCCCCTCAACATTATCAGCAAAATAACTTTGTTTTTCCTGGATCCTCTTTCCTGATTCTGGTTCAGAATGTGCCACCGGGCCAAACACTGGGGCAACTGTTTCCTTTCACAAGGATCACAGTCCTGCACTCATGGTTATCCTTTGTGTAAAAACATATTTTGTCCTGTTTTCTATTCTTTTGTTTTTGTGGTACATGATTGAACCTAGGGCCTCCTGCAAACTAGAAAAGCATCTATAATTCAGCTACACCCTCAGCGCACTGCCCTGTTTTCTGGTTGTTTATATGAAGAGGTTTAGTCTGGCATTATTATTCTGTCATGGTCAGAAGTAGAGATTATGAGTTCCTTAAAAGTTTAACTAAGCACTGGGGTTGTGGTTCAGTGGTAGAGGGCTTGCCTGGAATGTGAGGCCCTGTGTTCTATCTTCAGCACTGCATATACATAAATAAAATAAAAGATCCATTGACAACTACAAAAAAAAATTTTAAAAAAGTTTAAGTGAGAGAGATGTACACTTCAGAAGTTAAATGAAAAGTAGTGTCATTCACATAATGCAAATTTCATGAGATTTTAAAAAACTGATGGTTGGATTTTATCCATTTTTGCTCAAGCTCTTAAGAAAAAATGTCAAAATGAAAAGACTTACCAAATTGATTTATGAAAAATTGAAATGAGAAAATACATTTAAAAAGTGTTATCAAATATATAACCAAATGTCAACTAATATTATATATTCGATATTGGATATGACAAACACTGATCAGTTGCAATTATTGTACACTCTTCTCATAGGAAACCCTAACACCCAGGCACAGTGGAACATTCCTGTAATCCCACCGCTTCAGGAGCCTGAGGCAGGAGGATCACAAGTTCAAAGCCACCCTCAGCAATTTAGTGAGGCTCTAAGCAACTTAGAGAGACCCTGTCTTAAAAATATATATAAACTACTGGAGATGTGGTTCAATGGTTAAATGACTGTGGGTTTAATCCTCAGTATGGGAGTGGGGATGTGGGTAGAGTGGGGATATGGGTGGGATGGGGGTAGGGAGGCAAACCAAGAGTGATTTTTAACTTCTTTGCCAACTAAAAACATTGAGACTTTTTTTATATAAAACAAGAGAGCTATTTTCACCTACAGTTGAACAACATTTACAATCAGTCATATGTCAACACAACTATGAAACTATGATGATTAGGATAAAGGGCTGCAATTTACTATTATTATTATTATTTTGCCAGTGATTGAACCCAAGGTCACTTATTTTTTTTATTTTTTTTAGAGAGAGACAGACAAGAGACACAGAGAGAGAATTTTAATATTTAATTTTTAGTTCTCGACAGACACAACATCTTTGTTTGCATGTGGTGCTGAGGATCGAACCTGGGCCACACACATGCCAGGCGAGCGTGCTACTGCTTGAGCCACATCCCCAGCCCTCGCTTAACTATTAAGCCAGTCTTTTTTGAGACAAGGTCTTGCTAGTTTGCTGAGGATAGCTTTGAAATTGCAACACTCTTGCCTAACACTCTCAAGTCACCAGGTTTACAGTCCTGTGTGCCACAGGGCCTGGCAGTATGCTCTTTAAAACCAATTTTGGAGAATAGAAACCACATACAGCTCATTACCTTAATTTTGTTAGAGAACTCCCCCCCACCCCCCACATCTGAAGTCATTAAATACTTCATTGTTTTATAACAATTTTATGCTTTATTTTCAGGTTCAACTACTACATGAAGTATCTGAAAAGTATATATCAACTTGGACTTTGTCTAAGTATAATTAAATTGTCTTTCCATTACAAAGTTGTTAAAGCTTTACAACTTAGGTTCAACAAAAATTTAGGAACTCAAAAATATATTACTGACAACTCAAAAGAGAAACCCAAACACAAATGAAATGTAAAACTTTATTTGAATAGTTGATAAAATTTAAAAGACATTTTGGAAAATTATACATTCCTGATGTGGATGTATAATAAAAACTTTCTTTTGTCATCTTTAAATTTATTTTATTAAAGCACTGGGATAAAAAGTAATGGAATATCTAACCAAACTGATTAAGATGAGTGATAAAATCAAGAACAATTATTCTGATATGGACAAGTGAACAGTAACAAAAATGTTTCCAATAAAAAAAAATCAGAGGAAGAGAGTAATCATTGCATAACATATGCATATATAAAAAACATGTCGTACACTTTAAACATATATACTTTGTCAAATCTCAATACAGGTGGAAAAAAAGGGTTTACAATCTAACCCCGAACCAAAAACAATTTTATATTTTGGGCATCCATTTAGAGGGATCAGTTTCATTTTGGGGGGCAAGAAAGTTTTCCTTCAAGTCTTAAAACCTGAATTCATTGGGGCATTTACCAGTTAAAAAAATTCATCTAGCATAATGCTGCAACCAGATTCTCAGCATAATTCCTTCTTGCAGAGCAGAACTCTACTTCATTCTTTTAGAAGCTTCTTTTGATTTCAATAAATTTACTTTTTTAAAGTAGCAAACAAAGTATGGGGCTATAATTCAGTGGTAGAACACTTACTTGGCAGGCATGAGACCCTGGGTTCAATCCCAACTACCAAAATAGGAGGGAAAAAAGGTACTACTTCCTTTTGCATAAAAAGGCCTTACAGTTGGGTATAAGGATAGTTGTATACATAGAGTTTCGAAGTATTTCTACAATTATTTTATCTTAAGAATAGTGCTTTCACTGCTTTAAGTTTTTTCTTGTCTGGGTCCATCTTAGATACACTTTTTTTTTTTGAAACTAGCAAGAGGATGGATTCTGTAATATTGAGTTTGGGATATAACTTTTGACAACTTACCTTACCAGTTGCAATAGTTTTTATAGACTTCAGCAGAGGAGCAAGGTAAAGTTGTTCCAGAATCACCACAAAAATAAATTCTTAGTTTCATGCAATTTCTTCCCCTAAAGATTACTTATTACTGTTGGGTGACCATGTTTCAGAATTTTTGGTTTTGTTCAATGTGCATATCTTCCAACATCTTCTAAAATCCACCAAGGAACATTAGGATAAAGGCGCCAGGATATTCCCTAAATTATGTTTGAAACCACGATGTCAGATGAAGAAAGTAAAACCTAATCAGACTTCTTTACCAACTGATCCAAGTGAGAATGCTAACTTACCCAACAAGGTGCAGAGAAAATTGGAAACGATTGAATAAATGCTCGTTAACTCGGGGATTAAATACGGTAGAGCCTAGACTTCACCCATCAGCTGTGCATTCCTCCTTTTTTAACCGGTATTCGCTGACTTCCCCCTCCTTTTCATCCCTTCATTTCAATCTTTTCAGCCAGCGCCCACAAACAGGTCCTGCCAGAACACAACCGCAGCCTCAGCCTCAGCCTAGCTTCAGCCTCAGGCCGGCAAGCCCTCCCTCGGCTCCTAGTTCTTCGCCCCTTTCCGGCCACTGCCCGGGAGTTTCCCATCCGGCTGCTTCGCCCGGGGCCCCGCCCACAGCCGCTCTCACGTGACTGCGCGTGCTCCGCCCCCTGTCCCCGCCTCACGTGATCGCGCCTGGGGAGAAAACGCCTGACCCCAGCCCCCGGCCTTCTAGGCGCAGTCTTCCCTCCCTGCAGCTAGTTGACTTCTCGCCCTTCGGCCACCGGCACGTCTCTCCACCCCGTCCCGGGGTGTCCCCGGAGCCCCGTCCGCCATGCGGCTCCTGCATCTGGCCCCAGGTGGGCCCTCGCGGGGCAGCTCCCGCCACCTGCTTGCCTGTAGACCGGCATTGCTGCTGCTTCTGCTGAGCGGCTTCCTAGGGGCTTCAGGGGTGGCAGCAGGCTCCCGGAGGCCCAATGTGGTGCTGCTCCTCACCGACGATCAAGACGAAGTGCTCGGCGGCATGGTAACTCTTCCATTTCTGCCCCGCCCCTCCATCTCCCTGGCTATTGCCTGACTTCGTGCTCTTTTTCTTTAACCCCACCCCCAAACTGGCTGCCTCGACCCCGGGTCTGTTTGGTTTTGCTGCTCAAGGGCATTCACAAACAGCAGCTTTGATGGGCCGCAGGACTATTTCTCTTTCGGATTTGATTCACATGCACATATCACACACCACACATCCAGTCTGGCCATTATTGCTGCGGGGTTTGCGTTCACGCCTCAAGATAAACATGTGGACTCCAGTTAAGGATAAGTTGAACCAGTGAGGCTCACTCAGGTGCTGGAAAGAGCACGCAGCGCTGTTTGCATTTCTTTTGGATTAGGGGCTTAGAGGCCATTGTTTCAATCCCCTTTAAGAAGGACCTAGGCCCCCCTCTGTATTTGTGCCTGTGTATAGGGTCTGTGCCTGATATCTGTAAAATAAATACTGACAAAATGAACTAATCTGGTAGGTAGACTGTTGAACTGTTGAGAGTGACCCCAAAGGATCAGGAAAGTTTAATTAGCCTAATTGAACACCTGGCTAAAGCATTAGATACTGTCAGCGGGCTGTCACGAGACTGGGGGGAGGGGGATTGAACCCAGGGTCTATCCCATGCTACCTTCTACCATTGAGTTGCATCCCCAGCCCTTTCTTTTTTTTTATTTTGAGACAGGATCTCACTAAATTGTCCAAGCAGCCTAGAACTTGAGATCCTCCTTTCTCAGCCACCCAGTAACCGAGATTACAGGTATGCACCACTGTCCTGGCCACCAAATTTCCTTTTGTCTTAGAGTTGCTCTTGTATCTTAGAGGTTTGGAGTTTATGACTTTAATCAGCATTTACCCCAACCCCCTTATAAGGTCAGAAATGGGGCTCACCCAGGGCACCGAAGCAAATTATTGCCTCAAGGCATAACCTGACTGGCCCTCTGATTTTGAGTCTAAGGGCTGAAACTATGAAAACTCTCCAGGCAAGAGGTTCATAATTTTTCCTGTATGGTAACATCCTTGCTTAGTGTGCTTCAAATTGCTGTTTTCAATCCATGAGTGAATTGTGAAATAAGTTCAGTGAGTAGCCACTAATATTCTTTGGAAGAGTACAATGGAAATTGTGTTTTACAAATGATAATGGCAAACATATCCATATGTATATTTGTTTGGGTTGTGAGTAAAATATACTCAGAGTGTGCTCAACAGTATCAGTCTTTTCTAGTGGATGTTTAAGATACTTGTGTTTTGATCCACACTTCTTCCTCTCACATATACCTTATTGACTTTTAGTTTCTACCCAACCATATTGATACTGAATCTTAATTTCATTTATCTTCTTACTTTTACTTTGGTTTTGCCACCATTCCAAATACTATACTTATCCTCCTGCTCACAAAACTTTAAGTTTGTGTTCTTCAAGAGTGTTTTGTCTAGTAGAAAAACAAGCCATCTGTGTCAGTGACCAAAGTACTTAGTTAGAAGGCCATGCTTTCATCTCTCTACTCAAAACAAAATTCATTACTTAAATTTAAGGTGTTAGAATTCAGTTTCTTCGAGTCTCATTGACCACAGCTGTTGTCGGTGTCTTTGTGATCTCTTGTTAGTACATTAATCCTATTTGCTTCTTTAACCTAGTAGCAGAGTCTTTTTATAAGTGTTCAGACTGGGGAGACAAGTCAAAATTGAGTGGAGAGCACAAGTCATGCTCCCAACTCTTCAGAGTATTCTGACTTTTCTTGTAGCTTTTCCAGAATATTCTGCTAAGTATCAAACAGGGCTTCCAAAGGAAAGAGCTAGGACAAGAACAGCAGTTGAGGACCTACTTGGAACCAGCAAATGTGAGGTATTTCATAATTCTGTTTCAATCATAACAGGAATCTTCTGCTGTAGATATTGTCCTTAAATAAGAGGAAATGAAAATTCAGACGTCCTGAAATTATTTGGCCAAAGTTCATTATTTAACTTGTAGGGGTCAAAGCTTGGGTATTTTAGGATTCCTGACCACCATGTTTTTCTCCTTATGTAAAATACTGTGGTAATTCTGACTTGTCAGATGTCATTTCACAAACCCACACCAGCACGGTCACTTATACCATAAAGATTCTTCAGGTGACATTCAAGAATACCAGTGAATCCGTGACTTTACCTATAATTCTTCATGTATAATAGCTTTTTGTTCGTTTTGGTACTGGGGATTGAACTCGGGGGGGCACTCAACCACTGAGCCACATTCCCAGCCCTATTTTGTATTTTATTTAGAGACAGGATCACATTGAGTTGCTTAGTGGCTCAATGTTGCTGATGCTGGCTTTGAACTCGAGATCCTCCTGTGTCAGCCTCTTGAGCCACTGGGATTCTAGGTGTTCACCACCACACCCGGCAATAGCTTTGTTTTTTTTGGAGAGAGGGTCCTCTGACCCAAAAATGTTTATAAATTGCTGCCATAGTTCACAAAATAAACAGTAGTCAACCTTGCAGATAACTCACGTTGAAGAATCGTAATACTTGGTATAATTTTGGTTTAAAGTGAAATTCTTTGAATCAGCTTGATAGCCTTATGCAGCTGTATTATCTTTGACATTTCACTGTATTTGTTCCAGGTATCATCTGTGGGACTTTGCTTTTACTGTTTTTCCTAGAGAACTGTTCTTTTCCATTTCTTGATTTTTACTTAAACATCATATGGTGCTCTGGGACACACTGTTCTTCACAAAAGCACAGGTTGCTCTTTTTAAAAATCATTCACTGTAGGAAAAAGTGATATTTGGTCAAAATCTCAAGGAAACCAGGGAAGGAGCCATAGGGAAATGTAGGAAAAGAATAAATACATGTCATTGCTTTACTTAAAGCAAAATGATTTTCATTGTTAAAAGAAAAATTAGCCAGGTGCAGTGGCGCATGTCTGTAATCCCAGCAGCCCGGAAAGCTGAGGCAGGAGGATTGGGAGTTCAAAGTAAGACTCTGTCTCTAAATAAAATATAAAAAGGGCTGGGGATGTGGCTCAGTGGTTAAACACCTCTGGATTCAATCCCCAGTACACCGCCCCCCTCAAAAAAAAAAGTAGCCATAGAATTACCAGAATTGTCAGAACTATTTCAGAGCAGCTATTCATGGGACCAGGAAAGTAAATGAGTCCTTAGGGCTTTTATAGAAGGGATTTGGCTTGGGATGAGTAACACATTTACTCATGAGAACAGAAGATTGGCTGCTGCTTAATTGCATGACCTTCACCTGACCAGCCCCTGTCCACTTGAATTAGCAGGGATACACATTTTTGGTACAATGTGGTGTCTTGCTTCGGACTTGTTCCACTAAGCACAGATTATCATTATCACTTGTATTACCATTAGTAGAAAAAGGACTCCAGTTAGGAATATAAATTTCTTAGACTAAAATCAAAATTCCTATGTAGTCCTGCCTCATCCTCTGGCTTCTACCTGCCTCTCTGACCTTGTCTTACCTCTTTCCCTTTTACCTCTTGGGCTGCTTCAACCACACTGGCCTGCTCTCTGTTCCTCACAGATTCCTCTCCTTCCTCAGAGAGTCTTTGTGCTTATTATTTACTCAGCCCAGAGACATCCTCTCCTGAAAGGCCTGAAAGAGGCTTTTCCTGACTACCCATCTCAAGTAGTTCCCCCTTTCTTTCCACCAGCTCCAGTCACATCATGCTGACTTACTGTGATCAAAGCACTTATGACTACCTGAAATAGTTAAGTTGTTTAGGTGTCCTTGAGTATCATGAGGTCAAGGACATTCTTTTTTCCACCATTGCCTAGATCAATGTGTGGCACACATTAAGTATATAATAAATGTGTTATGGTCACAGTGCAGATTTTTTTTCTTTGTGATGCCAGGGCTTGAACCCAAGGCCTTGTGCATGCAAGGCAAGCACTCTACCAACTAAGCTATGTCCCCAGCCTTAAGTACAGTCTTGAAACCAAGTCAAACTTGGTTCAAAATTTTTCCTGCATATTGGATAATTTGACAAGTCTCAATCAACTCATAGTCCTTTCCCCCACATTCTCATTTTCTCTCCCAGTTTCCTCGTGATAATTTGGATTCTTTGTCAAGCTAATATTTAGTTCAGTCCACTCTTCTGGGAAAATATGTTTTCTAGTCATATTTTGAGAACTGGTGACATTGCCTCTGAAGGTTAGCACACATCTTCTACAGTGCTGGTGTTTCTTGAGATCCCATTAAGGATCTACTCATGTAATTATCAAAGCTCATCTTAGAATTCTCATACTTTTTGATTATGGTTCCTTAGGTTTTCAATTATCAATAATGGGGAAAAGCCGTTTATACATTGTTGAAAATGAGTCTCTCATGAATCTAGTTTATATTTGGAATATCAATCTTCAAGAAATTATCACACAAAATAACTTACCAGTGTATATGGTGTGGTCTTAGGTTTCAGAAGTACTTTAGAGTCATTGTGAACTGCCTCATAGTACTACTAAAATGAGCCTCTTTGGTGCTTTTTTGCTGTGTGGAAAGTGAATAAAGATTATTGGTGTCCCTTTTATTTATATTTATATTACTTCACACTGTTATCATTTCTAGGATGAAGTTAATTGTTCTCTGCACTTGTCAGAATCTTAGATTTTGAACAAAAGATGAAAAGCCAGGATAAAAACAAAGTAATTTCTGACTAGCCTTCTGCCTAACAGGGTTCTGTTAAACCTGCCTGCTACCTGGCTCAGGTGGTGACCAGTCAGGTGCAGAGGGGACAGTAAGCTGGTAGTTGAACAGTGTGTGTCTGGTCCACCACTGAGATTTGAAGCCATCTCTGGATCTCAAAGCCTTGTCTGTCAGAATCTAATTGTTGTTTCTCTTTAAAGGGTGGGAGGCACCTTTCATATCATTTCTAACATTCTGCTTCTAAAGATGAATCCTTGGAAATAGGCTGGCACTATCTGCCTTCTAAGGTGACTACTAACAAATAAGGGAAGGACACTAAAATTGTATTATATTGAAATCAGCATTGCTGGAATAATGTCATCAGCCGTGAGCTTTCCCTTCCTGCTTGTGTTACAGACCCCTACACTTTGGCACAGGGTCCTAACCGAATATTACCAAACCTGTTTAGTTTATCTCCAGAATTATATGACTCTTAGCTATTGCTTAGTGACAAAGCTGACCATTGTGAATAAAAAAATAATACGTAAAAACACACAAGTTTTGGTCTCTGTGTTTTATCAGAAGAAATTGTTTAATGGATAATTACTTATTTTACAGACACCACTAAAGAAAACCAAGGCCCTCATTGGAGAGATGGGAATGACTTTCTCCAGTGCTGTAAGTTTTGAAACTAATTTTGTTAGACTTTGTGTTTATATTAAGAAGAAACACTCTTCTGGAAGTCTGGTGTGATCTTTGAAGGTTGTGTGTGTGGGGGGGAGGCTGGGGATCGAACTCATGCAAGGTAAGCCCTCAACTGAGCTATGTCCGCAGCCCTATCAAGGGTTTTTTTAATAGTTAAATTGAAATATTACTTGCTATCAATTGAAGAACAGTTGTAGGTTTGTTTGTTTGTGTGTGTGTGTGTGTGTGTGTACTAGATTTTGAACTCAGGCACTCAACCACTGGGCCACATCTCCAGTTCTATTTTGTATTTTATTTAGAGGCAGGGTCTCACTGAGTTGCTTGGTGCCTAGCCATTGCTGAAGCTGGCTTTGAACTCATGATCCTCCTGCCTCAGCCTTCTGAGCCACTGGGATTATGTGCATGTGCCACCATGCCCAGCTAGTTGTAGGTATTTTCTAAGCCAGTCTGTGCTGCAACTCAAAACCAGAGAATTTTATCTAAAACCTCATTGTTTTAGATTTGAAAGTGGATTGTTGGAAGCAAGTAATGATTATATTTTGATAACCTATTCTATGGTAAAACCCAATTAACTCTGATAGTCAAACCTGATAAAAATAATAGCACCCAAAATATATACATATATATTTATATATAATATAAATACATTAAAAGTTATATTCCATATATGTTAAAATATATTCTATTATTATGTATAACTAAGAACAAATTTTAAAATTAATAACATACAAATTTAAAGAAAATACAGATGCAAAGATCCAAAATAAAATGCTACCAATTCAAATTCAGCAACCATACATGTAACTCAGTAAGTGGGTTTGGGGATGGAAGGATTGCTTGATCCAGAAAAATCTATTGCACAGTACAACCATGTTAGACCTAAGAGCATAGATTCCAGAACGAGACTGCCTAGTTTTGAATAGTTGCTCTTATATCTACCTCTGTAACCTTGGGTGAGTTATTTGACCTCTCTGGTTCTTAGATTCCCCGTTTGTAAAGTGAGTTATCAAAATCTAGTGTTATTATAGTTAAATGAGTTGATGCATGTAAAGCACAATATCAGTACTGGACTTTCAGTAAGAGCTCATAATACTGGGTTATTGCATTGTCTATCTACATGATATCAGTAGTTGAAGTAGTAGAAAGAAGGAAAGTTAGATGTTCATCTTGAAAGATGTTTGACTAGTTCCCTGAAATTTAGCATCCTTTCCTGGTAACATTAAGTTGTTAGAATACATCCTTACAATGATGAATATTACAAATAAATAGCACACTTTATACTTAAGGTGAGACACTTAGGGCATTGTTAGGCATGAGACAAAGACTTAATTTTTTATGTTCTAAACTGTCTAATCATTGTCATAAATCTAGATTGAAATAAAATTAAACTATTTGAAGTTAAAAATAATTTCCACTCTTGGATTTTTAACCTAGAAAACAGAATTATTTGAAATTTTTCTGTGGTGCAAGGAATTGAACCCAAGGCCTCATACATGCTAGCCAAGCACTGAGCTACATTCCCAGCTTTTTTTACTTTTTGATACAGGTTCTCATTAAGTCACCCAAGCTGGCCTTCAACTGTGATCCTCCAGAGTAGCTGGGATATATGTATATAGCACCACACCTGGCTAGAAAACTTTGTAAATTAATAGAATTTAGTAAGGCAAAAATTAAAAAGTAAAAATAACTTCTGTATGAGTTAGAGAAGTTGAGAAAGAGATCTTATTGATAATAGCAAAGTATAAACACTCTAGAAATGGCTGGTGATGTTCCAGAAATGGTTTAAGACTAAGTTAAAGTACTTAGCAAATGATAAAAATAAAAATACCTTCATAGATACATACATCATTTTCTGTGGTAAGACACTTAAGTTTATTCTAATCAGAATCTCCACAAGACTTTTTTTAATATTTATTTTTTAGTTGTAGTTGGATACAATACCTTTATTTTATTTATTTATTTTTATGTGGTGCTGAGGATCGAACCCAGGGCTTCATACGTGCTAGGCGAGCTCTCTACCACTGAGCCACAACCCCAGCCCCAGAATCTCCACAAGACTTTTTAGACACAAATGATTTCAAAAGTTATCTGGAAGGCTGAGAGTGTACCTTAGTGGTAGAGCACTTGCTTAACATATGCAAGACCCTGAGTTTGATACCCAGTAACATGCATGCAGTTATCTGGAAAGATAAATAGGTAAAAACAATAAAGGCATTTTATATTTGGTGCTAGGGACTGAACCCACAACCTTGTGCATACTAAGCACCCACTCTATGACTCAGTTATACTCTCAACTGAGAGGTTTGTTCTTTTTAAGACATTACCCAACCATATATTAAAATGTGATATGAAGATACCGTTAGCAGTGTGATAATGGCCATAAAATAGATCAGAAGACAAAAAGGGAAAGAATTAAGAGTTGCCACTGTAAAAATAACAGAAGTCAAGAGCAAAAGTAAAAAAGGGGAAGCATTTGTAATGTGACCAAATCTTTCCTTACTGCAAATCTTAAGTAACATGAGGCCAAAGTTCAGGAGGAAAAAATGAACAAAACACATGAAATGACTCTTCACATAGACGACTTGCTACTGTGCATGTAGATAACATTCTCCCTCACCAGTATTTAAAAATTCCTCTCTGGGCTGGGAGTGAAGCCTACTGGTAGAGCACATGTTAAACATATACAGGACCATGGTTTTTAATTCCCAGTAAACAAACAAAGCTAAATCCAACTTGAAAAGCCAAAAAACAAAAAAAGGAACAATAATGTTGGCACGAATATGTTGACCATCTCTTTCCTCCTGGTGTGGGTATATATCAGTATTAATGTCAATAAAGTGACTTGGGGATGTACCAATTTTATTGGGTAGAAAGGAAAAGGTTTGTTGATAGTAGCTCAGGAAACATAATTAAGAGAGGTGGTGGGAAAGTGTTAGAAAAACTATATAAAGCTGCAGATGAACCTGAAAATGAACCTCTGCTTTTCAGCTACGTTAGATTCAAGTAGCCCTCTCTATCTTTGGTTAAGACCCTACTCCTGCCAGGTTGCATTCCCTGCATATTAATATTATTTCCATGACAGACAAGATTAGAATTACTGTTTTCTTCAGAAAGAAACCAAATTAAAAAGAAATTCTCTTCGTTTGTCTCATCTCTTGGTATCTGTTTTGTGTAACTTAAAGTAGTTCCAAAGTATGTCATGTAAAGAAAATCTCTATTCCATGAGAAATTAAAAATTTGAAGTTGGAGTATTGAGAAGCTTCCTTTTATTTTCTTTAGAAGTGATGAAAACTTCATCCTTCTTGTTTAACAGACTTTTGCTTCAATTCTCTTTGTAGTATGTGCCAAGTGCTCTGTGCTGCCCCAGCAGAGCCAGTATCCTGACAGGGAAGTACCCACATAATCATCATGTCGTTAACAACACTCTGGAGGGAAACTGCAGTAGCAAGTCTTGGCAGAAGATCCAAGAGCCAAATACTTTCCCAGCAATCCTCAGATCAATGTGTGGTTATCAAACTTTTTTTGCAGGGAAGTATTTAAATGAGGTATGTTGAATGGCTTGTTATTTTTTTCTCCCTTATAATAGCTTTTAAAATGTGAATTAATAATTGATCAAAACTCCTATTATTTTTTCAGTAGTGTCAATTCAAGTCGTGTTAAAGGGCTTGGGGTATCTGTTGTTTTTTCCTCATCTGCCCATGGTTTACAGGAACTGGTTTACATGTTTCTGGTACTGTAGTTATTCTTCCTTGAAATAATCCCAGAAGCATTTATTTTAAAATTGTCCTAAGATTGCCATTATTGTTTGCATCTTCCCTTTTCCTCAGGACTTCTGCTTGTCATGTGGCTGTGTCTTTTTTTTCTGTTTCCCCTTTATCAGGATCAGAATGAAGAATTTTTTCCCTCACATTTCTTAAAATCTTTTCTGAATTATAACTGTTTAATGCTTAACTCACTAACCCAAAAAGTGAGAACAGACTGTGGAGAGACTGTAATAAAGGGAAAGTACCTCGGGCCGGGTTAGAGTGATACTTCATTGTGACCTGTTGGGGCCAGGTTTCAAGGCCCCAAGTCTATCACACTGGCCTCAGCTTTTAGTCAAAGACCAAGCTTAAAATGGTGTAATTGGTGATGTTTGGGGTTAGCTTTCGGAGTTAGCCTAGGAATGCAGAACAAAGAAAAGATGTATATTTTCTTCTTCTTTACCTGTGGTTCCAGGTGGTCTTAAAATCTGATCTGAAGTTCTGCTAGTTTTCTTCCTCTCCCCGATAATTAAGGAGATCTGCAACCTTGTGGGTTTAAAGGAAAATTAATCAGTTTGAAAGAATCAAGAGAAACAGGAAGTATGGTGTGATACTCAGTTATGGTGTTGGTGTGGGTCATAAAGAGAATAGGGAGAATCTATCTTTGCTTTGCATATTGAAGGTCATCTGATTTATATATGAAATTAGGAGAAAGCTTTCAAGTACAGAGAGTTTTCAGGGATTAAATTCTGCCTTAAATAGGCAGTATTACAACTTGTTGAAATAAGGTGGGAATGTACTGTGGTCTCTTAACTTATTCATCTCATCAGATAAATTATGCTCCAAAAGTAGATATCATCAGGGCAACTGAAGTAATAAATTCAATAGCTCATAGTCTATTTTTTATTATTATTAGCAACAGTGTCAGTTGAACAATTCATTCTATGTCATCGTGGCTCAGTACTTATCCATGAATGGGTCACGGTAGGGTAGGCGACATGGACATGTAGCAGGCAAGAAAGTAAATGTTTTAGACTCTGCGGGCCATACATCTCTATTGCAGCTTGCTTAGTGTGCTGCCTTTGTAGCATGAATGTAGCTGTAGATTCTAGGTAAGCAAATGAGCATGGCTATGTTCAAATAAAAGTCTGTCATCACTGAAATTTGAATTTCGTGTAACTGTCACATTTCACAAAATATTTGTCTTTTGATTGTTTAAGTCTTAGTGTGTTGACCATACAAAATAGTTGGGAGGCCAGATTTGGCCTACTGTCTGTGGTCTTTGTGTTTGGGAAAATTGAGCACCTAGTCTGTCAGGCACTCGTCTAAAAAGATTCTAAATTTCCTGTTTCTTTATGGTCTGGTCATGTCTAACGAGTTCTAATGTCCTACTTTTCTGTCTTTTCAGTATGGAGCCCCAGATGCAGGTGGACTAGAACATGTCCCTCTAGGCTGGAGCTATTGGTATGCTTTGGTAAGTGATTATTGAAGTCAGTGACTTATATTATACACAGACCTCTAGATGCAAAATGTTTACTCGCTAATTTAACCCTGATACCAACATAAGTTTTTCGGCTTTATGCCTAATTGTTTTGTCTCCTTAAAAGAAAGCCTGTTGACTGGTGAGTCACTCTGTTCTGGGATGTTTTTCCTGCATTACAGAGGGTTTAGCAATGTAGTTTGCTGTTCTTCCTAGCCACTTCTGGCTTTTAAACTAGAACAAATTATTGAAAACATGCTAGTCTTTGATAAAAAACCCTTGTCAGAAAACATAAATATTGACTTGAGTAATTTCCTTTTTCCTGTCTTTTTGCTGTTTAAATAGAGTACAGTTTAGCCCAACATGGGTTTAGTTTTTCATTTTGTGTTGACCTTGTACCAGATTTTACTTTCCTCTTTTAAATAGGAAAAGAATTCGAAATATTACAATTACACCCTCTCTATCAATGGGAAAGCACGGAAACATGGTGAAAACTACAGTGTGGACTACCTGACAGATGTTCTGGTGAGTTTTTGGAACTCTGCCCTTGCAGGTTTGGTTCACATTCGATTAAGCCTCTCCCTAGAAAACCTCTAGTCTTGTTTGTGGCAGGTGACATAAATGTGTAATAATGTGAAATAACTGCCAAAGATTATGTCCAACTGATTAAAAATTCCTGAGGGTGTTTTTCTTATTTGTTGCTAGAATTTCAAGAACATCCCTTTTCCAAAGGGTAATAAGACCATATAGATAATACTTTGTAGAAGTTTTACTTTGTTAGGAGCTCCTTTTTTTTTTTTTAAATCTGTACTTTGGATTGAATGCAGAACCTCATGCATACTAGGCAAGCACTCTGCTACTAAGCTACATCCCCAGCCCCTTTTACTTCGAAACAAGGTCTTGCTAAGTTGCCCAGGCTGACCTTGAACTGACAATCTTTCTGCCTCAACCTCCTGAGTAGTTGGGATTATAGGTATGTGCCAGTGTGCTGAGCTGGGGTTCCTACTCTTGGCCCCAGTTTTACTCACAGGGTCTGAATTCAAGACTCGGAGTAATAGAAGATGGCAACTTTACAGGCCTTTATGTAGGCGGAGGCATAGAGATGTGAGAGTTCTTTGGGTGGTCATTATGTGCACAAATTAAAAAGTGAATTTGGGACTTTTCTGTTCTGAAGTGTCTTTAATGGAAATCCTTCATAGAGCTTTTATTCACCAAATAGTTCAGCAACTACCTAGTACGGTAGGCATTCTGCAGTAAGTGAAACAAAGTCTATTCTGTGAAGGTAATTTGTGACAGAGTTTATTTGTGCTATGTGTATGTGGGTATATACACATGTACATTTGTTGCTTCATTAGGTAATAATCAGAGAAATAAGCATGGGGGGGGGTTACTTGGTAGGTAACATTTAAGCAGTAACCTGAAGAAGGTGAGAGTGAGTTATACACATCAGCGGAAATAATGTCGCAGGCAAGGGGAACAGTGAGTGTAAGGGCCCTGATTGAGCAAGAGTGTGCCCTGCACTTGTGAGAAACCACAAGGAAGTTGATAGAGCTGGAGTAAAGTGGGCAGGTGGGAAGGTGATAGGAAATAGTTATCTTCTTTATGTTGATCTAGCATTAGGAATAAATGAAGGTGTGAATCAGCTAGAATAATGAAAAACAGCATGTATATGGGGTGCTTTATTTTCATAAAGAATCTCCTGATAAGTAAATGAAAAATGTTAAGTCCATATAAGTTCAAGCACTGGTGTGACGTGTTTGTTTTGACCTTTAGTTTTGGTGCTGGGGATTGAACCTCAGGCTTTGTTCGTGCTAAGCACATGGAGTACCAGTGACCTACATCTTCTGTCCCAGGATTTGGGTTTAATATCCATTTAGTTTAGCTACTTCAGCTGGCATAATTGACAACTATTTTCTATGTATTTTCATAGATTATGGTAATTTAGTGCACCTTTCCCACTTTTGAGAAGTAGATTTATTCTTTAAATTCTGTAAGTCATTAAATGTATATATGTAAAGTTTCATTAATGTAAAATAATAGCAAAATGGCCGAATTTCTATTTCTTTCTATATGGGTAACAATTTCTAGACTTGTAAAGTTATCAAGATCTCAGTTGCTTTTTTTATGATGGTATGCTTCTCAGTTTTTAAATATTGCCTAGAAACCAAATGTTTTGTTCCAGTAGCATGCTTGCACATGATCATGAAAAAACATTATTCACCAAGATATACAGCTAAGATGACCTTGTACTCTCTGCCCACCAAAGGACATTTATCTATTAAGTGCTGAATTATTGGGTAGGGTAGGAGGTAACATATCTTTGTATGTGTCAGGCTAACGTCTCCTTGGACTTCCTGGACTACAAGTCCAACTTTGAGCCATTCTTCATGATGATTTCCACTCCAGCACCTCATTCACCTTGGACAGCTGCACCTCAGTACCAGAAGACTTTCCAGAATGTATTTGCACCCAGAAACAAGAACTTCAACGTCCATGGAACGGTAGCCTTCTCAATCCTTGAATTAAGCCATACTCGGTATAATTAATAGTGTAATATACCCGTCAGGAAACCATTGAGCCATGTAGTAGATTTTTCTTTCAATATCTTTTAAGGTAATGCACCTGCCCCTAGAATAACAAATAGTATAAACTTGCTTCACAGGTACAGATAAGGTTCCTGCCACACATCCAGGGAACAGCAGGGGAGTCCACAGGGAATGGTGGAAAGGCCATCTTCCCTGATTACAGGAGTGTCACTCAGGCTTTTCTGGTAACATGTAGGCTGGCTCTCTTCCCTCCTAGCAATGGCTGAGACACATCCCTGGGGATTGAATTGGGTCTGTAGCAACACCAGCCCCACCCCAAAAACTCACTGGTCCAAGGCATAAGAAGAAGAGGGGTGGCAGAGTGCCATGTGATTGGGAAGAGAAACTGAATGAAAAAAAGCCAGCACAGGAGACACGATTAAAGGCCACACAACCCAAATATTTGCCTCATGTGTCAGTTTATTATATCTTTCTCTAAGTTACTCTAAGTCATTGCATTGCCCTCTATTTTCCCACCCAGGATACTGATTGCCCCAGGTCCCCGGAGAGATCCTATCACAGCACTTTCTTTAGTTAATAGATTATACTTCCCTTGACCCAGGGTATGGGCAGTTCCTGGTTCAAAGTCAGAAGGTCTCCATTGCCTCATGTCTATTCACCAGAAATCGTAATTGCTTATAAGGTTGTTGTTGAAGGAATGAGTCTTAAATTCAGACTCAATACTACCAATTTCTGGCTGTGAGATGAGCAAGATATCTTAAAATGGGAGTTCCCAGTCCTTCCTGCAACTGCTGTGAAGATTACAGACATCGTCTAGCATACCACCTGACATGCTGTAGGCTTATCTTGTTAAATATGATTTTTGACACTGAGTGACCTGGGTTTTAAACTGGAGAGCTATTTTCAATTTGTGTTCCAAAAGAAGGTAATAGAAGTTTGGAAACTTGGAACTAAATAAGTCATTTGTTTCATCACTGACCAAAAATAAAAAACAAAAATCATTCTGTTACACTCCATCCAGAGAGAGTGGTGTGGTTGAATGTGAATTTCTAGCAGGGAAGAATGTGTTATAAAGCATTTCTCAGATTTAACTAACTAAAAAACACTTTTGAGGACCATGGTTTGGGAGATGCTAGCTTAGAATATTGTGAATGGAGAGGAGATAATTAATAGTATATGAGAGGTTCTTGTATAAAAATGTGACTTTAATTGGGATAGCTCCTCCAGATTTGGACTTGAAGTTTTAAGAAACTGCTGTGATAGGATTTTCCCTAAGGATCTTGGGCACAAAAATTGAGGGCAATGGAATGATAATTCATTAGGCAAAACTTAGAGAAAGGCAAAGTTAATATTTACCCATTTATAATTACAGTAGACATAGGATTGAGGTTATAAATTTAATCCCATGTTGGCTAATGGTTTCCCAATGATGTTCACTAAAGTCTCTTAATGTTGCTGACAAAGGAGCTAAGGCATTTTATAATTTGATAGGTGGTGGGAAGCTGAAGAATGAGTGATGGAGTTAATCTGAGAAATTTCCTTTTTAGGAATACAGGAGAAGGGAGAGAGTCTGACATTAAATAGTTTCAGTTAACTTCTTTTCCCTAAAGGATGAAATGATCCTTTTATCAACTTTACTGATGTAGTAGTTTAACTGTGGTGACTTGGTGTTAACATTTTTTTCCTTCTGATTTTAGAACAAGCACTGGTTAATTAGACAAGCCAAGACTCCAATGACTAATTCTTCAATACAGTTTTTAGATAATGCATTTAGGAAAAGGTAAGAGCTGCTGCTTTCTCAGATTGAGTGGTTTTAAGGATAAGTGTGCCACGTTATCTTCAAAACAAAAAAACAGGGAAACAAGTCTATGGGCAAGATGCTTTGGGGCATCTGCTACCTCAGAAGCAGGCAGATATACCTTTACATTCATGTGTACAAGGTAACCTATGGCCCCCAAGACTAATTAAATCATTCATTTTTTAGGACTTGTTAATGAATATTGCAAATTTAAATCATTTGCTTGAAATTTTTTTTTCCTGTTCCTAAAGGCAAAGTCACTTGGTGAGAAGTCAACCCAAACACTGAGCAAAATATTTATTTGCCTTTGGTGTTTGGAATTTTCAAGACATTCTAAGTTAGTTTTAAAGAATCTATTACTTAAGGTTTATTTTAGTTTAGACTAGAGGTTAGCAAACAACTTCTGTAGGGCCCGATAATAAGAATAGTAAATATTGTAGGTTTGCAGGCCATGTATTCTGTCAGAACTTCTCAGTTCTGCTGTTATAACATAAAAGCAGCCCTGGACAATATGTAAATGAGTGATTGTGGCTGTGCTCCAATCACACTTAATAAAAAGGTAACTGCAGCCCATGGGCTATAGTTTGCCAGCCTCTAGTGTAGATGACTGAACAATGTTGAATAATATTTGAATTAATCTCTACTATTTGTTACTGAATCGAGAACTTTCCTTTCTGATTATCTCTACTTATCACCAGTAGTTATAAAAGTAAAGCTAACTAGTTGTTAAAAGCTTCATTTATTTCTTTGGAAACATTTAACTTTAGAAAATTTCAGAATATAATTCATGTCAAGGTCTTTGCTATGGCAGGGTTTGGGGAATGGAGATTTGAGAATTGAGCATATAGGATTTTTTTGGTAGGTGCTGGTATTTTTGGTTTTGCTTGTTTCTCTTCGCCTCCCCCCACCCCATGTTGATTCTTGAGCCATTGCCCCAAAGTCCCTTTTCTACCCTTGGTTCACATCCAGGTGGCAAACCCTGCTCTCTGTTGATGACCTTGTTGAGAAGCTGGTCAAGAGATTGGAGTTCACTGGGGAGCTTAACAACACTTACATCTTTTATACCTCAGACAATGGCTATCACACAGGTAAGAGACAGATACTCCTTTTATCTTTGAGAACATGGGTTTCTACCCAGTAGAAAAAGTAGCCCAGGCAGGAATTCTAGTGTTGTATAGCTGTGGGCTTGTCAGAGCAAGGGTCTTGCCCTCAGGACCCTCTGGTTAGTGGGCTGGGCATTCTCACATAGAGAAACTAGGTTTCTTGATTTATATGCTCAGTTAGGTAGTGGTCTAGGAGCCAGAGCAGAAAGAGCTTGATGGGATAGTGGCAGGCTTTATGGAAATTGAACTCAATTTTAAGAATAAATGAAACTTAAAAAGTAGGAGTAAGACATTCTGGATAGGCGAACCAAGAGGTGATCTTTGCAGAGTACATTTTGTCTTGCTAAATTGTGGAATTCATTTGGGAGTAGTTTTTATTTCTTAAAACTGTAGAATGAGTTAGTTCCATGTCCTTGACTTTCATTCTTTCTGCTTGGATTCTCTGTGTGTTTGTGTGTGTGTGCGCGCGCACGCGCGCTCACATGTGCTGGGGATTGAATCCAAGGCCTTGCCTATTCTAGGCAGGTGTTCTACCCAGCCCATACTTGGACCTTCTGTAGTTTAAAAAATAAATGTTTTGCCAGGTGCTGTGAGGCATGCCTGTAATCCCAGCAGCTGAGGAGGCTGAGGCAGGAGGATTGTGAGTTTAAAGCCAGCCTAAGCAACTTAGTGAGACCCTGTCTCAAAATAAGAAAGGGCTAGGATAAAGAAGAATGAAGTTATGTCATTTGCCAGTAAATGGATGGAACTGGAGACTATCATGCTGAGTGAAATAAGCCAATCCCTAAAAACTAAAGGCAGAATGTTCCCTCTGATATGTGGAGGGAAGAATAGAAGTTCATTGGATTAGACAAAGGGGAATGAAGTGAAGGGAGGGAGGATGGGAATAGGAAAGATAGTAGAAAGAATCGGACATAACTTTCCTGTGTTCATGTATGAATAAATGATCAGTGTAACTATACATCATGTACAACTGCAAGAATGGGAAGTTATACTCCATGTATGTATAATATGTCAAAGTACACTACTGTCATGTATATCTAAAAAGAACAAAAAAAATCTTTTTAAAAAAGGGCAAGGGGGGCTGGGGTTGTGGCTCAGTGGTAGAATGCTCACTTAGCACGTGCAAGGCACTGGGTTTGATCCTTAGCACCACGTAAAAATAAATAAATAAAGTAAAGGTATTATGTCCAACTACAACTAAAAACAAATAAAAAATAAAAAGGCTAGAGATGTGGCTCTGTGGCTAAGCACCCATGGGTTCAATCCCTGGCACAAAAATATTTTTGCTGGGCACAATGGCATACACAGGTAATCTCAGCGATTGAGGAAGCTGAAGCCAGAGAATTGTAAGTTTGAGGCCAGCCTCAGCAGCTTAGTAAGATGGTCTCAAAATTTTTTAAAAAAGGGCTGAGAATGTAGCTCTGTTGTAGAATGCCCCAAGTTAAATTCCCAGTACCACAACAAATATTTGTTTCTGTCTATAAATTTCCACTTGAAAAGAATTAACCTGAACCTTGAGCAGATTTAATATTATGTAAAATGTAGGCATTTAATATTATGAATAATTTAAAACACTCAGAATAGAGATTAATGGAGCTCTGGATGTGGTGGCACATGCCTGTAGTCCTAGCACTTGGAGGTTGAGGCAGGAGTATTGTAGCTCAGGAGTTTGTGTCCAGCCTGGGCAACATAGCAAGATGCTGTCTTTTGGAGGGTGGGGTAAGTATAGACTAGTAAAATAACCCCCATTATCCAGCTTAGGTTTTTGGTTCCATGTGACTGTGCTTTTATATTTTCTTAACCCCCCACCATGGTATTTGTTTTTTGTAAGAATGTTTTGAAACAGTTCCCAGACCCTGTGGTTCCACATATCAATATCTGATTATGCATTTGATTTATTATGTGTCATGATCCAAACAAGGTCCACACACCACCTTTTAGTTTTTAGATCTCCTAACTCTCACTTGCCACTCACTTACTGGATAAAGCAGGTCTCTCATCCTGTAGACTATCCCATTCTGGATTTGGCCGCCATCTTGTAAGGCCTTCATTTACTCATATCTACTCGGCATTTCCTTTAGATTGGTAGTGAAATTGAAAGACCTGTTAGAAATTCTCACTTGTAAGTGCACTTCCTCAGTAGTGCTGCTGTATATTTCCTGTTGTGACATCATGAAACTCATAGTGTCTGGCTGCCCACTTTGGGGATGCTGGTATTGACTTATGACTCAGGTGATTTCAGTCTGAGCTCTACCAGTGAATCCTTCTGACACTGAGGTTCCCGATGATTGCTTAAATCCATCATTCCCTCAAACACAAATTGTGAAATGTGGACTTCGTAATTCTGTCCTTTGCATTTACTTGCTGGACCTCTCCATATCAATTATTTGATTATCTTGAACTGCAGTTTGTTCAGGAAAAGCAGGAGAAGTACTTTTGTCCCTTTTCATTTGGCACTGTTTGGAGTAATCTCTCTTTTGCTGTGATCAAGTTGAATATCGTGCATAAATTTTTTATGTATTAGTGTTTTGGTCCTTTCCAGGGTTGGTTCGTTTTTTTTTGTTTTGTTTTGGGCTCAATTTGTCCTAATGTATACCAGGGAGTCCCTTGTAGTTATGTATCCAAAAGAGATGAACTCACTACTTTTCCTGTCATGTAATAAGAAAAACAGGCAAATTTAAGTTTTCTTTTAAGACACCAGAATTAGTAGAATTGTAGAATAGTATTTTCTGTATGTTCAATTGACTAAACAAATAAAAGAAAGTCAGAGCTACGTGTCTGTCTTGGCTCCATCTTTACTTTTTGCATTTTGTTTTCAGGACAGTTTTCTTTGCCAATAGACAAAAGACAACTGTATGAGTTTGATATCAAAGTTCCACTGTTGGTTCGAGGGCCTGGGATCAAAGCAAATCAGACAAGCAAGGTAGGTGCCTAACAAGCTGTTGTGTATGGATGGGGTAGGCAGTTGCCTGAGAAAATAAGGCTATTCCTTTTGAGAGGGGTGCTGGTGGGGTTCCTCCTGTAAGGATAAAGGCTGATCAGTGTTAAATCTTGTGTGTTTATGAGCCTTGGAAATAGAGATTCCTTTTTAAATTAAAAACAAACTCCCTGCCACTCTTTTTGGGTTTTTTTTTTTTTGTTTTTTGTCTTTAAACCAGGGATTGAACCTAGAGACCCTTAACCACTAAGCCACACCCCCAACCCTTTTTATTTTGAGATAGGATCTCTCTAAGTTACTGAGTTTGTCCATGTACTTGTAATCCTCCTGCCTCAGTCTCCCAAGTTGCTTGGGATTACAGCTGTGTGCTACCATGCCTGGCTATTCAGTGTATTCTACCAGTACATGTCACAGCAGAGTGCATAGCTTTTGTCTGTCCTTTGAGACTAGATTTGCTTTGTCCTGAAGTGGTGATGACTGAACAGAAAGTGCTCAAAAAATTGACCTGAGATATTATGAAGAATGAATGGTACATGTTTGGGCAGCCTCCAGAAAAAGTCTTGTTGATTTACATGGTGTGGAATAGGGACCCGGCATCTGCATTTCTTTCCCTTTTAAGCTTACAGATGATTCTGAGAGGCAGCCTGATTTGGTGTACACTTTTTCATGGGGCAGAGCTCCTCACGCTTTGCTATGTGTGTGAATGTCCTGGACATCTTGTTAAAATGCAGAAGGGTCTTGTTTGCTATGATAGGGATTGAACTCAGGGTCTTGGCCATGGTAGAGAAGCACTCAAACACTGAGCTACACTCCCAACCCCTGAAATATGGGTTTCAATTCTGTGTTTCTAACCAGTTCCCATGATGTCTGCTGCTGGTTTGACCTCACTTTGAGTGTAAGACGGTGGAAAAAATTTTCTGAGAATTTCCTTTTTTCCGTGTGGAACTCTCCGTTACTAATGCTTTTCTGCTTCTCTAGTTTTTTTTTTTTTTAAGCATTTTTTTAATTGTAGATGGACACGATACTTTTATTTTATTTATATATATTTTTATGTGGTGCTGGAATCAAATCGGTGCCTCACATGTGGTAGGCAAGTGCTCTACCCCTGAGCTACATACAATCCAGCGCTGCTTCCCTGGTTCTTGCTTCTAGAACTATCGTAATGCAATACATTCTTCTCTTTATTTGATTTCAGTGTCTTTTTCCATTGAAAAGGTACTTAGTCCTGGAAGATGGTGGGCATCTTGATCAGAAACGCTTTCCTTTTGTTCTCAGGAGAAAACCAACATATGCTCTACCATTTATGTCTTCTGTCCTTGTATCATGATTTTGGTCCCAGGTCTGTGAGATCGAAGAAAATAAGCAGATTCATGATTTAAGCTAAATTGCAGAATGGGTTTCAAAATGGGCCAAACTTTCTGGTCTTATTAGTTACTTTGGTTTAATCTGGGGATTTAATGTTGTGTTTCACTGTATCTTTCACTTATTTCCTTTTACAAATGCTCTTGATGCTTTTCTGTTAAAATTCTCTCAAAGGGAAAATGGTTTTCATAAGTGGTGTCTGTGTTTTCTTCTGCTCTTAAGACCTACGTTTCTAAAGCCAGTCCACTTTCCACTACAGATTTCAGTTTCCTCTAAAAAGGCCTCTCTTTCAAAGGAGATAGGCAAGTTGGGAAGGTTATTAACCTTAAGTGTTTTATTGAGGGCTGGGATTGTGGTTCAACTGTAGAGCGTTCACCCAGCATGCACAAGGCCCTGGGTTCGATCCTCAGCACCACATAAAAATAAATAAATAAAATAAAGGTATTGTGTCCAACTACAACTAAAAAACAAATATTTTAAAAAAATGTTTTATTGAGGTTGGCATTTGGAGTTAATTGAGACCATGCCAACACTATACATTTCTGAAAAGTGGGGTTTCTAGGCCCACATTAAGCCAGTGTGAGGAAGGAGGCCAAATAGAACAGGATGAAGTGTGTCAGCCAGCTGCCTGTGGAACAAACCGTTCCTTCTTTTCAAGTTAACAGTGCAATCAAATGTTAAAAATCAGAAACTTCACCTTCTCTAAACAATCTAAACGAAGCCTGAATCCTAGGAAAACATTTCAATAGTACATTTATTGGGTATTACATGTGTTTTATGTGAATCAACCCAGTTAAATTTCAGTCTTATTAGCATATGTATATGCACTATTATACCCATTCTACAGATGAAGAAACTGAGGTACAGAAGTTAATTGCTTTTCCTATGATCACACAGCTAAAAAAAAGCAGAGTCCTGCATTTGAACTCAAGCGGTCTGGCTCCGGAGTCCATATTCTTAACAATTACACTATAGTTCAGTCAACAAGAATTTATTAAGTATCTTCATACTCTGCTGGCACAGTACCCTAGAAAAGCCTTGAATGCAGCAAGGAGCAGTGAGGGAGGATTTCTTATTAAATGCTGGTGTCAGGGAGGACCCTGGACTTTAGCGAGAGCAGTCAATGTACACCTCTGAGGCATTTGAGCAGAGGCAGGTTGAAAAGTATGCAGTCACACAAGTCTGTAGAAAGAGCATTCTGAGAACAGTTAATGTGACTGCACAGATGTCAGAATAAGCAAGGCTTGTTCAAGGGACAAAAGGAAGCATTTATACTGAACTGCTTTCACTTCCTAAGTGCACCATCTCTCTCACCTCCTGTCCTTGGTATGACTGACTGCTCCTGTCTGGAATGCCTACTTCAGAACCCCTTCACCTGACCAACTTCCCTGTCCTTCAGGACCTTGGTCTACCCCACCCCAGGAAGTCACTTCAGACTCCTGCCCTTGGATGACATGGTGCCCTTTCTGTGGGTTTCCAGATGGTCCCACACTTAACACTCCCCACTGAAATTGTCTTTTTCACTCAAGGATACCCTAGAGAAGAGGAACAATCCAAAGTGAGTACCCATCCCTTAACAAACACTGGGCAGTATCCACATTAGTTGCATGAATTTTGCTCGTCGTGTAGTAAGTAGCAGGACCAGAGCTGACAGTGAACTGTGCCTGTTCTCAGAATCCGAGTTTGTCACATTGCAGTGTTGACAGATGGAGTTGAAATGTGAAATGCCTCAGTTCTCATCTAGCTGAGGAACGTCAGAGATATTGATCGTGTGTTGGCAGCAGTCATTTCAGTGCCACTTGTAACACATGAGTGACACAGGGTTGTGCACTGTGCATGACAAGCTGAGCCATCACAGCCTGACAGCCTAAGCAGCTCACGTTTAGCTGACTGGTGTCTCGGCTGTTTGACAGCAAGAGCAGGTGGTGTGTGGATGCCAGAGGTTGGCTGAAGTTGTCTCCACGACTAGACATTAATCTAGTTCTAAATTTGGTGATAGTTCCTCAAAGGGGTTTTTAGAAAGGAGAAGGCTAGTAGGAGAGCTAAACTGAGAGCATGATCCAGGGGAACCTGAACTGAGAGTAAAGATTGCCCGTTGGCTTTAAGACTTTGAACAAAATAAGCCTCACTTTCCCCTAGTTGTGAAATTGGGAGGATATTGTATCTCTGTTATTGAGTGTAACGGGGTGATAACCTGGCACCTTCCTCATTAGCGATAAATCCAGCTAGCACACCCCAACATAATGGGGGAATCTCTGATTTCTCATGTTATAGGACCTTTCACCTTCTGGCATGCTTTGAGTCTTCTTTTTGCTCGCTCTGTGTGAATTGTTTAACATCAGAGCTTCAGTTTCTGTCGGGCAAACTGGATGTGTCCTCCTGAGATCGCATCACCTTGTTCTTTTCAGTAATTAAAAATGCTTTCATTCTTTTAGAGTTGAGATATCAACACATGATATCCCTGGATTTCGTGCTGCAGGGGTTTCTAGAGGGCTTCTGTTTGATGAGACTATGTATTTGAATCCCAAGAACCCCAAATAAACTGAGAGATTATGATATGAAATAATTTATTTTGGTGTTGGAAAAGCTTTTTATGTTCTGATCTATAAATGAGTGTTTTTAAATTTATACTTAAAGACCATGTGATAAAAGCAATATCATTCTAGAAACTTGGAACCCTAATGTTTCAAGAGTCATTACCATGGTGGTCCATCAAATCTGTTCTAATACTTGGTTGTTTAAAATTAGAGGTAGGAGGTGGAGATGTGGCTCAAGCGGTAGCGCGCCCGCCTGGCATGCGTGCGGCCCGGGTTCGATCCTCAGCACCACATACAAACAAAGATGTTGTGTCTGCCGAAAACTAAAAAATAAATAAAATTCTCTCTCTCTCTCTCTCTCTCTCTCTCTCTCTCTCTCTCTCTCTCTCTCTCTTTTAAAAAAATTTTTAAAAAATTAGAGGTAGGTATAATTTTCTCTGGAATTCTTTACTGGTACTTGATGCTCCTTCTACCAACATAGTATGCACACCTTGAAACCATCTCTGCTTCTTAGACAAAAAAAAAGTGTCCTCTGAAATAACATGTTTGTGAAACTCGTGCCAAATCTTATTGATCCCTGATTTATACTAGAACTTACAGGTCTTTCTCTCCATTGAGCAAAATACCAGTAGAAAATGTCTCCCATCATACAGCTGCTGGCTCTTGAGGCAATTTTTGACCAGTCTTACACAAACACCATTTTATATTTCTGTGGATGGGGTGATATTTTTTTTTCTCCCCTAGTGGTACTGGGGATTGAACCCAGGGCTTAGCACATGCTACCATAGAGCTACTGGGGAGTCCTCCCCCCCGCCCCCGAGTGGGACTCACTAAGTTACTAAGGCTAGCCTCAAACTTGACATTATCCTGCCTCAGTCTCCCAAAAGGCTGGGATTACAGGTGTGTGCCGCCACCACCCCTGGCTCGCTCTGTGGGTTTTATTATTTTGGTGATTACCCTTTTCCTTATAAAACTGCCTTGGACATGTTAGTAGTGTCTCTGGAATTGGCTTCACTTATTCATTCTGTGACTCTCTGGAGATCAGGTCTCCATTTGCTTCTCTCCTGCTGTGATCTCCCCAATATTTACACCCAGACTTACTGGCTGGGTTCCAACCTGCTCAGTTTGCCTCAGGGACTTAGACTAGGAAAATTATCTATAACAGTGGGTCTTATGCAATCCCTGGAGACTAACTCTCTGAGGTTTTGTTTTTTTCCTCAGTGACATATGGATTACCTCTCCTGAATTGTCTCTACTGAATGGTAATTTCTGACAGGTGCAGAAAGCTAATTGATTCAGAGCCAGGATATGTATCCCTTGCCTTCTGAGAGCCATCCTGGCTGAGAGGAAACCTGACCCCTGAAGAACAATGTTCTGAAGATGTTTTCTTGCCTTTCATCATACTTTCAGTTTTGTTTTCACATTTAAAGTGGAAGGATTTCTTTTTCTTTTTTCTTTTCTTTTTTTTTTTTTTTTTTTTTTGATCTCCCTGTTCTTTCCTTCTCAATAATTTCAAAAACATTTCTTTTTAGCAAGATAGTTCTCCCAGTTAAAACTGTTATCTTTGTTCTTATATTTTATTTCTCCATCTGTAAAATGGGGGAAGTACTACATACTGAGATTGTGGGAAGGAATAAATAAGAATAAAGGTTAAACATCTGGCACAGACTAGGTGCTCACTAAGCATTAGTTCCCCCCTCCTTGCCCCTGCTTTGCTTCCTGGGTTGTCCTTGCTATCCTAAGGCTTTTCCCAGCCTGTGACCAGGTGACCTCTAGGCCTCCAAGTAGGTTCTGAATAGGCTTGGTTTGAATCAAATGTAGAATCTCATTATATTCCTTATATTCCTTACCTGTTGAAATAGTAATTTTTAAATATATTGGTTAAATATGTACACAATGAATTTTGTCTATTTCATTTAAAGGCAGTTATTTTAAATATATGTATCTACTGTATCTATATTGGATCATGCTGGTTTAGGTCCTGTAGAAGCATTGTAAACAGAAGAAAAATACTCCTAATAAGGAAAGGTATAAATGCAAGACATTGGTCTTTAATTTCTAGAATATTTTAAAACATCTATTTTATGCTGTGTGAGGAAACTTTCGTTGATACATTGTTGGGAGTAATTTCCTGAAGCCTTCAAAGCCTATGTTTTAGCAATGTTGCCAACTTTGAAAAACTATAAAATGGGCTAATAATTCTCAATGGTGGCAAGCATTCGACCTTTGAGATATTTAAAAATGTGAAGTCCAATTTGGTGAACCAATCTGAATAATCAAGTTGGAAAACACTTTTTTTTAAATCATTAGCCCAAGACTCATGACTCATAACAAGGCAATTTCAAAGGAATTTTAAATGTTTTGATCAATTGGAGTCTGGGTGAAATAGATTTATAATTTCTCAGAAGCATGTATTACAATCCTCATAAGGGCTTTGTGTTTTGTTAATTTGAATATATGAAATTGTAGGATCAAAGAAACAATGGTCTGTACAAAAGTTAAGAGTGAGTAGTAGTTGTCTCAGATGGGTTGTCAGGAGAGAGCCTTAATATAGATAGAAAAGGAAGACAGGACCAATTGCATACTAGACTCTTGTTTTTCTTGTTTTTACAGATGCTCGTTGCCAACATTGACTTGGGTCCTACTATTTTGGACATTGCTGGCTACAACCTAAATAAGACACAGATGGATGGGATGTCCTTATTGCCCATCTTGGTAAGTATAAAGCCCTAACTCAATCGTGAGCCAAAACCAAACTAAATTCAAGGTTATATAAAGACTTAAGCTAAATCTCAAAGCTGTTGCATTTGCAAGGACAGAGAATGGGATTTTTCTGATCTCATAGTGCAAGTTTTCTTAAGGAAAAGGCTGACTGGACCACATGTAAACGTTAGCATACTCTTATCTTCCCTTTCCCAGCTCTCTCAAAAGCCACCATAAACAAAGTTAAAATAGGTGACAAATTGAAAAAGTATTTGCAATGTATATTTGGTCTTACTGTGCAATTTATTTGTTAATGAGGTGAATCATTAATAGCTTAATTTGTATATCATACAATTCACTCATCTAAAGGGTACAGTTCAGTAGTTTTCAGTATATTCATGGAGTTGTACAACCATCTCCATAATCTAATTTTGGAATATTTTTATCATCCCAGAAAGAAACCCCCAAATACATTAATAGTCATTCCTCCATTGTATATATCTATACTGGACATGTCTCATAGAATCATATAATATGTGGCTTCTTGTGAGCATATTTTCAAGGATCATCTGCACTGTATGATCCTTTTATTTCTAATATTCCATTGTATGAATATACTATTCCCCCCACTTGGCAAATGTACCACCTTTTACTTATCCATTTTTCAGAGACACTTAGACTGTACTTTTCCATTTGGGGGCTATTTTAAATAATACTGTTACGAACAATTTGTATACAAGATTTTGTGTGGACCCATGTTTTCATTTCTGGGTAATTCTGTAGAAGTAGAAATTCCTGGGTCATTTGGTAACTATGTCTAACTCTTTGAGGCACTTACCAGACTTTACCAAAGGTGCACATCGTTCTACATATATTTTCACCAGCAGTGTCTGAGGGTTCCAATTTCTCTACATCCTCACCAGCACTTGTGTTTTTTATTGAAGTGGATGTAAAGTGGTATCTCATTATGGGTTTGATTTGCATTTCAGTTTTTCTGCTTCTACCCTGTGTGCTTTGGAAGCAAAACTTGCTCTTGTTCTAGCTGCTGCTTTCCTTCCACACCAATAATGTGCTGTGCAAAGGAGTTAATGTACGTGTTGTAGCTTTATTCTAAGGAACTCTGAACTTACTCTAGTTCCAAGCATACCAGCCCTGTTTGTTTGTCTCTTGTGTTTGTATTAGGTTGTGAGTACCTTGGTATAAGCTTAGAACAGTTCTTACAGTTCTTACATGGAGTTATTGACAATGATCTGGACTTTGAGCAACTTGCACTGGACTTGATTCTAGCTTAGCTACTTTGTTGGTTTCTATTCCTGACCTGCTTCACAGTAGTAGTCTCGGAAAGAGACTATTCAAAGCATTTGACTGTCACTCCTTTTAGTTACTGAATGAGCAATCCAATTAGTTTTGACTCTCGAGTCCTTTTTGGCAGTAGTGTAAAAACTGTGTTCTTTATCATAGTCTGTATGCCTCACGGAAAGCACCTCTGCTCTTTTTTCTAGAGAGGTACCAGTAATTTGACCTGGCGGTCAGATGTCTTGGTAGAATATCAAGGAGAAGGTCAGAATGTCACGGACCCAATATGTCCTTCCCTGAGTCCCGGAGTATCTGTGAGTAGTAACTTGTGTTGGCCTCGACAGCTTTCTCACAGTGCAGCAAGGTTCTTGCTTAGGGGTACAAGTATGGGAAACCTTCATATGAATGCTACTCCCTGGTCACCCGACTGTGGGAAATCTGGTAATCCTGAAATTGATGCTGCCAACCTATCACCAGAATGTGCACTTTGAATTCTTCTACTCTGTGCAACAAATGCATGTATCTGCCCTATTTTCTGACAGTACCCTTTCATTGTTTTCCTGCCCCTCTAAATAGCAATATATAATCAGTTACTTCTGACAAGTGGGGTTCTCCCCTGTAAATATGCCATCATGAGTGTTTTTCACTGGTGACAGCCAAACAGGTCATAAAGGTAACTGATAGATGTGCTGGAGAATGGGAACTAGGCTTCCATTTGGAGTTGGCTCTCCTGACGCCAAATTTGGGACACAGTAAAGGGCTAACAACAAGTAGAATGACAGAGTCTGTGGAATACATGAAGTAAGCCACAGGAGGGCTGGGGCTGGGGCTCAGGCTCAATGGCAGGGTGCTCACCTAGCACATGTGAGGCACTGGGTTTGATCATCAGCACCACATAAATGAGATAAAGGTATTGTGTCCATCTACAACTAAAAACTGAATATTTTTTAAAAGCCAGTTACGTCACATTTTGGTGACAAGAATGCTCATAAATGATTTACCTGCAAATATTGCCACAAAGTTCATTTTAGCTGCTACTTCTCTATAGGATAGTAGTCCTTTGAAGTGACTGTTGGGTGTTTCTTCTCCTTGCCAACCTGTACATTTAACAGGTGCTTATTACAACTAATTCTTATCAGGAGGTTACCAGACAAGAGATGGCAGCAGTCTACAGATGGTACAAACACAGATTTTTTTTTTTTTTTAAGAGAGAGAATTTTTTAATATTTATTTTTTAGTTTTCGGTGGACACAACATCTTTATTTTATTTTTATGTGGTGCTGAGGATCGAACCCAGCGCCGCGCGCATGCCAGGCAAACACGTTACCGCTTGAGCCACGTCCCCAGCCCCAACACAATTCTTTAAGTCAGCCATTAGTAAGGAACAGAGCCTTGCATCTGTTTTTTGGGTTTTTTTTTTTTTTTAAATATTTAATTTTAGTTGTAGTTGGACACAGTACCTTTATTTTATTTAATTTTATGTGGTCTGAGGATCAAACCCAGGGTCTTGCAAGTGCTAGGCAAGCGCTCTACCACTGAGCCACAACCCCAGCCCTTTGCATTTGTTTTTTTACTTATTGGAGTCTCTGCAGAAGGTTTCTTCATTTCTACCAAATTCCATGTCTGGCTTTAGCTAACTGAGTTGTTCCTGTAGGCAACTAGGTTGTTGTTACCATGGAAGAACGCTCTTCATTTAACTTCTTAAATATTCCTACAGCAATGCTTCCCAGACTGTGTTTGTGAAGATGCTTATAACAACACCTATGCTTGTGTAAGGACAATGTCAGCATTATGGAATTTACAGTACTGCGAGTTTGATGACCAAGAGGTAAGAGGGGCTTCACCTATACCTCCCCCAACCTTTGTCTATTGCTAGTGCTTTATTGGTTGGGCATGGTGGCAAAAGAGTAATTCCAAGCGTGCCTTCTAGGGAAGATGTGTTTCTTAGCACTACATAAATGAAAGGAAGGTATTTCACTTAGTGTGTCCTTCAGTTAAGAAAAATTCCACACAGCCATGTTTTGCTTGTCACTGTGATCTTTCTAAATGGGTTTTCTCCACTCACACCACCCCTCAGACACAGTTCACTTTTTTAGAATGATTCACACCTGGTCCCTTCTTAAAAAGTAGTTGGGGCAAAAGTGAAGCACTTCCACTTCTATGGCCGTGAGAGGCATTAGCCTTTCCTAGAAAGTTGATAGCAACTGATATATTCAAAAACTCCTGTTCCCACCACAGCACAGTCCAGTGCTCATCAAATAGAGTGGGTACAAAGGCCCAGGAGCTCTGTCCTTGGAAGAAGTGAGTTTTTTGGCCAGCCTGAAGAATCACATGGGCTGCGGTCCCTATGAGCGCATTCTGCTTATTAGCGCACATACCCCTGCTGCGTCTGGTACTCCACAGAGTAGTGGTTCCTCTGTTTCTCAGAAATTGTGCTTGCTGCTCCACGTGGAGCTCAGAAGCATGATGGACAACAAGGGTGTCCCTCAAACTCAGTTTCTGTTCCTCCCTTCCCAACAGTGTTCATCAAGTTTTGATAATTATAAATGATAGTCTGAGGATAGCTACTGGAAGCTGTTGTAGGCAACCTATCATTTGACTCCAGTTTGGAGAACAGCATACAGGTTAGAGGGGGAAGTACTAATCCTACAGTTATGTCTGATGTTGGAAATAACGAGTATTGTCTCTTTCCCCAATTGGTGTTATAAATGGGGAAACTTGAATAGCTTAAATTGAGGCACTTTTCATACCCATTCTTATTTGAATCTCAAAATTCTAAGGCAGAAGTAAGCCTTCCAATATTAACTCTCACTCCTGTAGTTTCATTATGAAGTCTTGTTCCGGAGGGCCTGCCATTGAGGACCCTGCCTGCTGTTCTTCAATTATCAAGAGTAATTGGTTTCCTCTTACTGCCCTATCCTGACTGCCTGAAGGCGTCGGGGTGCAGGTGGTCCCTTTCCAGCTCAAGCTATAGACTCAAAGCCATGGACACCCAGCACAGATGTACCATTGTCATAAGTACACAGTTAGGCTCCTTAAGGATCTTGAGGCCAGATGTTGTTATACTGGGTGTTGGGTTTTTTTCTATGTCCTCCCTTCCCTTTTAGAAATAATTCATGTTTGGAATATTTCCTTGATTATAACCCTTTTTTATTTCCACCATCCTTTCATTTCATCCAGGTGTTTGTAGAAGTCTATAATCTGACTGCAGATCCAGACCAAATCACTAACATTGCTAAAAGTATAGACCCAGAGCTTCTAGGAAAGATGAACTATCGATTGATGATGTTACAGTCCTGTTCTGGGCCAACCTGTCGCACTCCAGGGGTTTTTGACCCCGGGTAAGTTTCCTCTGTCTTCACTTTGCCGAGTTGTCTCTAGTGGTCATGCTGTTATAGAAGATAGGAAGTCCTATGGGTCCTTTCTGCATTGACCACAAGCCTTTCTGTTGGAGAGGGAATACTATCTTCATATTGCCTCACCTTGTTGTGCTGGGAAAATAAGCTGTTTGAGACACTTTGGCTCTCCACTGCCCTGGGTGCATGGACACCCTTCTCTTGCCCCAGGCTCTTCCTTTTGCCCTGCTGCTGTGATTCTTGTCATGGTACCACTTGGTTGTACTCGTGGCAAGTAGGGCTTAAGTAAGCTCTGACCCAGTGCTGTCCTGTTCCTAGGCTTTCCGAGAGTGTATGCCTTCATCACTTTTCTCAGAAACCCCAACTATAGTAACTTGAATGTTATATTTTAAGCATGCGAAGATAGGTTTAAACCAAATATTGAAATGTAAGTCCATTTCCAAAAATGAATACAAAGATGATTTTCACCTGCCCAGATATGTTGTTCCTCCTCTCCTGTTACACAGTGCCTAGTCAATAGGACACAAGGCATCAAACACCAGGCATTTAAGCTGCCTCTGACAAGAAGGATTCACTTTATGCTTAAAGGGTATGAAGTTTAAAAACTGTAACCAGGAATGGATTATTTCAGTTCTTACACCCTTGATTGTAAGACAGCAGTGAGGTCCTAAGTTGATGGAAAATTGTAACTATTTAGCCATCTTCATATCAAATTTTATTTTCAGTCCAAATGAGAAGAATGTATGTCAATGATTAGAGAAACTGGATTATAGACTGTTCATTAAATAAATATATCTAAGTATTGCATATATAGCCAAAGAGACAGATTCTAGCACACTAAAACTAGATAACAGGGCTGGGGGTGGGGAAGTAGCTCAGTGTCAGAGCACTTACCTAGCATGTACGTGGCACTGGGTTAGGTCCCCAGCATCACAAAAAAAACCAACAGAAACCTAGATAACAGTGTATACCAGTGTCAAAACCAAATTGTGTTCCATAAATGTGTATAATTATGAGTTGATCAAATTTTTTCAAATACAGCAATTCAAAATAAGAATCAGAGTTTTAGAAAGCTAGATGACAATATAAAGAAATTATATTTATCAGTTTATCATTTGCACTAAATTACTTCTTAAATATAGATACCTATTAGTGTAATGATTGGCCAAGTATTTTGCCCTCCCAGCTTTGGTTGTGGGTCTTTTTAAACTTTTATTAGTTGTTGATGGACCTTGATTTGTTCGTTTATTTGTGGTGCTGAGAATTGAACCCAGTGCCTCATACATGCCAGGCAAGCACTCCACCACTAAGCCACAACCCCAGCCCCCAGCTTTGGTCTTCTGAAATGGGAAGTTCAGTTTCTGAAAAGCACAGGGCTTTGGGGTGGCTTGTGTTGATTTTGCAATTTCCAACGGTTATTTAGGTCACAGTATATCAAACTAGATGCCAATGAGTCCCTGACCACTTGGCTGCTAGAATGTAGACCTTCCATGTCCACATCCGATAGGCCAGTGCAAGGCAGAGGTGGGAGCTACCTTCTTTCTTCTGATTATCTGTTTAACTATAACCAATTGTCTTACTTACATTGTTGAAGTTTGTGATTCAAGTTTTAGATGCTGATTTTGCCGAGCTGCTGTTTGCCTGAGCTTAAACTCCACTGATTTTCTGTTTTAAATTCATTAGCCCTGATTACTATTTCCTACTAAATACTAAAGCTGAATGGTTGGTATGTGGCCTGCAGTCCCCCCCAAAATATATTATCTGACCCTTTACAAATGTGTTGACCAACCACTTCTCTAAATAATTTATCCTACAAGATAGGAAGTAAGAGTTGAGTACAATATTACTTCCAGCCTGCACACCTAAAATCTTCCTGGCCAATGCATATTCTTTATTCAGCATTCATTCTACCTTTCCCCTGTAGTGGTAAAATTGTTTTTTGTTTTTTGTGTGTGCCATACATTTGGCGTGAATTCTATTTTTTGGGGGGGGTGGGGGTGGGCAGAGCTCATCTAAATTGTGAGCCAGATTCAAACACGTCTCAGCTGCACACTTGTGCTCTTCTGTGTCTGTATGTCTTAACTATCAAACAGGAGAGGGCTCTGAAACTGCCAGCAAAGCTTTCAGCCAGGGTTAGGCTCTTCTCTTCCATCTGGCTGCTTTATACCTCAGGGATCACCCCTCCTCCCTCAAGGAAAAAAAAAACTTGTTACCTTCTGGTACCATTTAAGATTAACCTTCTGCTTTTTCTCCCCTCAATTTATACTATATGATTTTAGGCTTGCTGGCTTGGGATGGGAAGTTTTTGTTTTTGTGGTGCTGGGGATTAAACACAGTCTCACACATGGTAGGCAAGTGGTCTACCACTGAGCAACATCCCTAGCTCTTCTTAAAAATTTTTGAGATGTAGTCTAAGTCATTGAGGCTGGCCTCAAACTTGTGATCTTCCTGCCTCAGCCTCCAAGTACCTGAAATTACAAGTGTGCACCACTGCACTCAGCAGAAGTGGGTTTTTGTTTACCATGAAATGTTCTTAACTATTAAGTCCTCGTATCTTTTACTACAGACTTTCTCATGAGAGTCCCTTCTGGTGATTTTGTTTTCTTTTACATCCCTTCCTGCTAACCTTTCTGATGAATAACATTCTGAGGAAATAGTGTTTAGCTAAAAGCTCATGCAACGATTCTTCTTTTATCATCCCCAGATACAGGTTTGACCCTCGTCTCATGTTCAGCAATCATGGCAGTGTCAGGATGCGAAGGTTCTCAAAACATCCTCTTTAGCGACCATGCCCAGCCTCAAGTGGGATCCCTTCACGACTCCTCCTGATGAAGTGACTGTAGTAGGTGTCTGTAGCTCATCTTTGAGACCATGCCTGGAAAAGCTCTGGACTGGTTCTAAGTCCTATTTGAAAAGCAACCCAATCAGCTGACTTCCTCGTGCAATGTGTTAAACTGTGAATTCTGCCCATAGGTCAGGGAGTGGCTACCCTTGTCTCTTTCCTCAGATGATAACGAACACTCCTGAAGTCTTTGTTCTCACCATGTCCTTTCTGTCCTGGGGCCACAGTTCTTGATTATCCCCATGTGGTCAGAGTCTGAATGTGTAAATCCATTCAGATAGGGAAAAAGTATGAAAACCTTTTGGTTTATGAGTTGATCTAAATTCAAAGGACCTGCACACACTTCAGACTGAGCACCTCACTATCAAAAATACTAACATCACATGGCTTGAAGAATAACCCTCAGCTGAATCATCAGATCATAGAACAGGTACCATTGTTTTAAAATAAGTAGATAATGTTGTTTATAAAATCCATCACAGTGTGATAAGGTGGCAAATTTAAAACATGTCAACCAAGCTGTTTCTTTGGAATTCTGGGTTAGTGCTACATTGAGATAGGGCAGTAAGCTGTGGTAAAGGCTAATTCCAGGTTGCTCTTGAAGGTGACAGCCACCTGCTTTCCAGTGGCTAACCATGTGGAGTGCCAGTCAGCACTAGCAGTATTGAGGAAATGTCTCTTGAGACTTCCGCCTCTAAACTGTCAAGGTACACAGTTGGGGAAGGTTGTGTTTCTGAGGGCCTTCTGTAGACCAGGCTCTTGGGTCAACAGGTTGAAGGGCCAAACTTGGGAGGAAGCAAGTGCCTGTCCCACAGGGAACCTAACTTATCAGTGCCACATATGAAGTTGTTTGGACTCTATTTTGCTGTCATTATTTTCTGTCATTTGTTTTAAGATGTAAAAATGCCCTGTAGTTGATGCAAATTAAAGTAGCATCAACTGCTTTATCCTATCTTCTTCTCTTTCAGATAGGTTCTTCCTGAGTTTCTGGAATCTTTTATTACTTATCAAAATCAGATTTTTAGGTTTCACTGCTTAGAACACACACGTTTTGTTTCTTGGCTTGAAAACCAGTTCCGTTTCTAATGTTTTCTTCAAGAAGGCTGATTATAGGTGGGACAGCAAGGGAGGAAGAGCTGTGGTTTATAACCTGTTCAACTCAGGCAATAAGTGATTTTAGCTTTATTTAAGGCCTGTCGAGCTTTAAGCACTTCTTAAGACATGGCCGTAGTTAACTTTTCTATCAGAACTCCAGATAGCCATGTTGGGTTAGTAGCCATTGGATTTTTTCTTTTACCTCACGTGACCCCAGCAACTGTGGTGGTACCTAGAGGTGAATAGGCTGATGAAATGAACACCTCTGCTGTGAATGCTTTAGAGAAAATTTTAAAAATAAGTGTAACTAAAAGCAACTATAATGTTGAATGTGGGTATTGACTTTATTCTCCACTTTGATTCTTATTCGTCAACTTTGACATTAGTGAAAGTTGACCATAGTTATTCCCAAATAAAAAGAAACCAACTCTTACCAGGTCTTGGACTGTGATGTCATATTATTCAGTTTATGATGCTGGTTCCTGAAAGCAGGTGGAGTCTTAAGAGTGACACGAGTCAGCTGCCAGCAGCCTCTCTGCCACACTGCTCTTGCGTCCAGCTGATGTGTCTGGGTGTGAGATGTGGTAAGGCCTTCCGTGTACCTCTTTTAGTTTGGGGATCTTTCCTAGCTAACCTTAAAATAGACCTCAGTTTCTAGCCTAACGGACTGCAGGGCGCACTGCTGTTTTCAGAATGTTTTTGTACAAGGGACCCACTTGCAAGAGGCTTTCCTTGTTCTTAACTGTACTGATTTGGATTTTGATTATTTTCCCTTTTAAGGTCAGGTTCATGTCTATTGGTACCCTGCAGAGTAGAGGACTGTAAAACCACTGGGAATGAATAGAGGCCTTTGGAATGAAGAGATTTTTGCCTTACAACATTTCCTATTATAAAGTTCTCCCTCATATAATTTCAAAGCAGGGAATACATTGAGTATCTTTGAATTGACAAACGGTGCTTTTGCAAACATATTTTAATTGACGACACTAGGGTTTTTGTACAAAATAGTAATGATAGCCATAGAAGTTACACCTTAATCTGTGAGGAATGTTCTTAAATTTATTTTTAAGTAGTAAGGATTAGTGCTTTTCAAATGAAAGCTAACTTGTCCCAGGATCCTTAAGAGAAAGCAGAGGGGACTTCAACTGATCCACCAATGGAATTAGATGGGTATATTTAGGTTCTTTAGATTTACTACTTTGTTCCCACTGAATTTTTGTAAACTCCCTATGTTTGCATCATCTGTTCCTGGAGGTTACTCGGCCCTGGCTCTCTGTCATCAGTCATTTCACTTAGAAAGTGCCCTTCGAAGGACCCTGTTCACTGCTGCACTTTTCAACAAATTAAAATTTATTTCTGTTCTAGTGGGACTGTGTCCTTTGTTTTAGTCCACAAGTAGTAATTGACAAGCTACTTTTATTCTTGATGCTGTTTGTTTTAACCACTTTCCTAATAGCAAAAAATGGGACATTTCCTCAACAGATTATAGTCTCTGCCTGGATAGCTCTTATGCACCTGATTTCCTAGTGATTGACAAGCCTGAATGAAGCACTACGTAGCCATGGAGAAAATCTTTCCTGATCATTTACAACTTTGGAGGGGTTAAAAAAAAAAATCTAGGCTAGCTTTCAGGAAAGTAGATGATGCTCATCTTCAGAGGTACTTTGCCTTGTCTGCAGACTTGTGGCCCACTGTCCTAATGAATGACTTCAAGGGATCAACAACCTTTTTCTTAAAGGGGGAGACAGGTGATACTTTAGGCTTGCGGGCCATGTGTGTCTGTCACATGTCTCGTCTAGGGCACAGATGTAGCCCTAGACGATACATAAATGTGTGTGTTCCAATAAAACTGTAGAAACAACCCCAGACCCAGCACCCAGCAGGTTGCCTCATCCCAGCAATTCTAAAGACCAAGTAGAAAATAAGATGTTAGAGTACACCCAGAGAGTTGTGCTGAGGATCTAACCCAGTGAGTGCCTCACAGGTGCTAGATGAGCACTCTACCACTGGGCCACAACCCCAGCCCCTATGATTTGATTTTGATCCTTACAAGCTAACCAGTTAGTCTGTTGTTTCACGGATGCTGGTGTTGGAAGTCAACCTAGGCGTCTCATAGAGACAAAGGACTCATCAGCATGAGCCTGTCAGTTCACTCTTGTCCCTAAGCCCATGGGTGTGATGCAAAGGGCCCACCTTGTGAATACCTGCACAGCACTGGGTTTTGTTACAGAAAAGGAACACTGAACTTGGAAAACCTGTTCTCCAACATGCCTGTTCTTTGCCCCAAAAGACCACCACCACTTCATCCTCAAAGCTGCTCACTGCAATCACAATTGTGAATAAAAAGCAATTCCGACCTTACGATCTTTTGCATACCCCCAGCAACAGTACTTGGGCCCCACAGTAAATCATCTCTCCCAACAACTCCCAGCTGTTAATAGCAGGGGCTCACCTAGCTGGATGTTGCCCCTTCCCTGTCGACAAATCAAGCTAACAGTAGCTCTAGGAAATAAATACTTAGATGTGATTTTTCCCCCCACCCTGGACTTAAGTCTTAGCCTTAAGGCTAAGAAAATCTAATGAAGAATGAGCACTGACCTATTAGATTCCAAGACAGGAGAAATTAAAACTTAAAGCAATTAAGAAGAAAAACATAAGGTTGAACGGCCAGGTCAGACTTGTTTTTGAGAGCTACCCACTCTGACCTTTGTCTAAATCCTGGAGAAAAGGTGAAGAGCCTTTAATCAGTAACCAAGTAGTAAAACAAGTTGGCATAAGGCACTCATAAAATTGCTAAATTACCACCATAAAAATAGGAAATTTAGTTAACATCTTAATGTAAAGCCATCAGCAAGGAGAATGTTCACACACATTAAAATGAGGACAAGCACAGACTACTAGACCATCTTTCTAACCCACCTATTCACACTGACACTGTACCTGCCCCATAGCACCAAGCTCCCTACAGACTTGGTTACATCTCTCTGCCACCTGTGGATTTAAAGGGCTGGTCATGTGCATACACTGAAATCTGTTGAAGAAACAGCCAACAAGCAGAACCCAAAGGACGTAAGCACTGTCCAAGACCTCTACTGCTGGCCTAGCAATCACTACATAAAATGAGATTCACCTGTGGGATATGGGCGCTAAATCCTGGAGTACCACAGAGTAGGGAGAGGACAGTTTTCAATCTTAGTTTTTAAGTGGAAGATTCGTGACCACCTGCCTGTGAAACCTGATATCCACACATGTCCTCTTGGCCTGCAGCTCTGCTGGTGAAAGGTCCTCAGAGGATGGAGGTATAAAAGGTGCTTCTAATTACCATCTTTTGGTAATTAAAACATCCAGGGAATGGGGTTTTTCTCCTCAGCTTAATATAACCAAGCTTAGAAAGCTAAATAGCGTAAGGATTTCAAGATCTGGCTTCCGATTTGTTTCTGGTACTGAAGATTGAATCCAGAGTCTCACACGTGCTGTGCATACACTGTACGACAGAGCTACACCTCCAGCCCCAAGTCCATCTTTCTCTTAAAATCCAGTTTCTCCATTGTCTATGAAAGAATTATCCATCCCTTCCTCATCATATATGAGAGCCTACTTTGCCTAGTAGTGAGCTTCATTATGTAAGGGAATTTTTTTATTCCTCCATGACATTAATGCCTGTCCTTAAGGGAAATGACACTATCAGACTAAGAAGTGCCCCAACCATTCAAGTGGCTTCCTGTCCCACTTCACAGCATTGCTGGTGGAAAAGAAATAGAGGGTTCTTCACACCCCATTTATTTCCAGCATGGCTGCAGTAGCCAGCTTCCAGGACAGCTCCTAACGATCCTCTGTGGTCCCACAATGCATGAAGGTTGGTCATATCACCAATAGAATAGGGCACGTGATAGTATGTGACTTCTGAGAATAGGTCATAAAAGATGTGGCCACTTCTGCCTTGCTGTCTCTCCTATTACTTTGGGGAAAAAAAACACCACCATATTAGGACCTCAGCCCAATGCTGAGGTCCACCTGGTGAGGATCTGAAGCTGTCTGTAAAAGACCAGCCCCAATTTGCCAGCCTCCTGAGTGAGTGAGCCATCTTGGAAGCAGATTTTTTTTGTTTTGTTTGTGGTGCTGGGGATTGAACCCAGGGCCTTGTGCATGTGAGGCAATCATTCTACCAATTGAGCTATATCCCCAGCCCAGAAGCGGGTTTTCTAGCCCTAGGCAACATCTTAACTGCAATTTCAGGAGAAACCCCAAAGCAAGGACCATCCAGGTAAACTTCTCCCAAACTCTTACCCTACAGATTATAATAATATAATCAATATTTAATGTTGTTTTAAGTTGATTTGGCTAGTTTATTACACAGGAATGTATGCCTACTACAGTGACCAAAGCTGTTTACCAAGAGAGAAACTGGATCAGGGCTTTTGCCAGAGCCCATCCAATTACAGGTACCTGGAACAGACAAAGAAGGGGCAAAAGTCTTATGTGCACTACTACATACCCAAAGACTATAAATAATCACTCATTCCAGCTATTGTTACTAAAACCAAGCAGAAGCATCTTTGTTGGAATGGTTGCTAAAATGTCCTCAGCAGATGTTGGAAAATATTTTAATGGCTGACAGGCTCCAGTCACAAACACGCATCTCCAGTGGGTCTCTAGAACTCCTAAGAGCCAGTGCAGGGGAGAGCAGCAGCCCCTTAGCAGCTGCAGCATACCAGGATTCTTCCTTGATTTCCAAGCCACCTGTTGTCACTATCCTCGTGCCTCCTCCTAACACAGGGAAGGCAGCTCAGATGCAAAAGCCAAGTAGCTACTTTGCTCCCCAGCCCTGGTCTCTCCCAGCATCTTCCAGCTAAGGTAAGCAGCCACCTTACAATGCCTGAAATCAAGACAACTTGGATGCATTCTATTGGTCTGGAATGAGTGATTACTAGTTCTGAGGAAAGCCTTCAGCCTTTGACAACTCTCCTGGATGCCCCCACAGAGAATGAAGCTCACTGTGCCACATCTGGTTCTCCACCTAGCAGGGGGAAACAAAAACTCTGGTCCCCAGTCTCCTTCCTATAATGCCATGCAAGGCCCTGCCTGAGTTCAGCCAAAGGCGAGCACTGCAGGAGAGGCAGGAAGCTGCAGCCTAGGGTCTGTCTGGAGAGGAGTCCTTTCCTGGCTCCAAGTTGTCCAAGTGGCCATTTCCAGACCTGTCTGTGAAACTTGACTCCCACAAACTTTGTGCCCTGCAGCAGGAAGAGATGCAAAGTGAGCTGAATAGACAGATCTCCAGGAGATGACCATCTGGAGGGAGAATTTACGAGCAGGCAAACACTAGAAACAGGTTGAGGCCTGCAGGCTGCCCACAGCCCCCTGGTCTGGATCATTCAGCATCATTCTCTGCCGTATGCTGAACTGACAGCTGGAGCACCCCCAGACCCAGCTGCTTTGGGCGCTTTGGTTCTAGCTTGTCAGGGAAGAAAGACACCACTTTGTGAATGCATTTATGTGGAGCAAAAGGGAAGGCCCTATATGATTCCTTGGTCTACAAACTGCCCTAGAATTTTTGAATATTCTGTTTTTAACTCAATTTCCTTCCCTAACCATAATTTTTTATTTATATTTGTTGTGTGTTACCGAAGATCAAACCCAGGGCCTCACTGTGCTAGGCAAGTGCTCTACCACTGAGCCACATTCTCATCCCAGCATGAATTTTTAAAACAATAACAACTTGGCAATGGCCACTGTGCACAGACGCCACTTGCTTATACACCCTGATCTGTTTCCTCCACAACCACATCTGACAAATTCCATATGAATGAGATTTAAAAAAAAAAATGGTAAATCAAAATTTCAGAAGGCAGAAATGTAAAGAGAAAAATTTCAGAGTCTTCAAAAGCAATGATCAAACTGATGACAAAACCAGACCTGGTTGTGAAATGAAATACAAAACATTATGGTAGGGCTGGGGTTGTAGCTCAGTGGCAGAGCGCTTGCCTTGCATGCATGAGGCACTGAATTCGATCCTCAGCACCATGTAAAAATAAATAAAATAAAGGCATGCTGTGGATCTACAATTACAAAACAAAAAACGTTAAAGTTAAAAAAAAAAAAAAAAAAAAAAAAAACAATGCCTGGGGAAGAAGTCAATTCTGCTCCCCTCTCTCAGCCTTTCTCCTGGAAGCCTAATTAATCACAGGTCCCTGCCTTTTGGATTGTAAATAACTGCCCCAGGAGTCTGACTGCTTCCTTGAGAAATGTTAACAGAGGCCTGAGATGTAACTAACATCTTCTCAACTGTTTCTGTGAACATGTTTGAGACCCCACCCCACCACCCCACCACCCCGGCACAAGGCCATCAGCCAAATAGATTAAGAAG